AAAACTGACATCAGTTACATGGAAGATGAGAGATATATATAATACAAGCAAGTGACAAAATGTTTTAGGGATACCCAGGAGATAAACTGAAGGAAAAGAGTTGATCTTTGATACCATTTAACACTAAGTATGTCTCATTCAGAAACAAATTCAGTTTCCCAGAAAACTATATATGTGCAGTATTCATTTTCCTCAGGCTAAAAAAGAATCAGCAGTAATCTGAAAGCTTTGAAAACTTTTCACATCAAAAAACCCCTTCAAACCCCAAACTCACTATTTGTATATATGTGAACACCTATATATGTTGCAGACACATAATGCACAATGGAAAGCAGAAAAAGCTACTGAATGGCACTTCAAAAATTCATTTCAGAATCTTAATAGGGGAAAATAAATTTATTTGCCACAAAGCCCTTAAAATAAGAGTTTAAATTGAAGTCCTGAAAAACAATTAACAGCAGAATTGATCATGAAAACTACCAGAATATGCATTAATGATTATGAGCAAATCTTTAATGTATAATGATAATTTTGGAATTCTTTTCGTCACAGGTATCTTAATAGAAAATTGTTAAAGGGAAGAATTCTACTAATATTCACGAGAAAAAATGAATAAACACCTTACTTTTGGAAGAAAAGCAACAAAACCAGAATAGAATTGAAAAGAAATTGAGTAATAATTACTCTTACAGATATAAGTGTGGATGGTGATAGGAGTTTTTGTTGTTTTATTTTTTCTTCCTCTATGTTTTTTTTTTCCATGATATTAGAGAAGAAACGATAGCAACTATTATAACCTGAAGGTCTTTATTTCCTCTGACAGAGAACATCTCTGTGGATATGTGAAACAGAGTGGGAAAATAAAACAAGAAAAGATTAAAAGTTATGAAAATTAATTAATGAGTTCGTGACTTTATGGCATCTTAGGGAATTTACTCAGCTTCATAAATTAGTGGAAATTCCAATAATATTCTCAAATGTTCTCTTAACAGGAACTTTGTATACCGTTACATACACTTCCATAGCAAACACAGTGAACTGCTTACTACATGCACCTGACAGATGGTATTTTGAAAATAAAACAAGTGAAGCTGAACCCATCAGTTTGGGGTGTTGGCTTGTTTTTGTTGTTTTGTTTTTTTTTTTCTGTTTTGTTTGTTTGGTTTGGTTTAAATGTTTTTTTATGTCTCTCAGTCACACAAAACATCCCTCGGAAAGCAAAGTGAAAACTGGAGGAAAATGCTGCAAATCCCTAATGTTTCTTATTTCTTTTTAGATTTGCAATGAAAAATGTGTCACAAGTCTGGCATATCCTGTTTTTAAATGATGTTTACTTTCTTAACACTGTCACAATAGGTTTACTTAGAATTCTGTTATGATGGAACTACAGCTTTATAATATCCTTCATGCATTTAGATTTATTTATTTTACACTTTAGAAATCTGACATGGGGATAGAAGTAGGTTCTAATATTTTAAAAATATCAATTTCCTTAATAGTAGTGAGAAGTTTATAATTAGTCATGAATATAGTTAGTGCTCCAAAGATGTAACTCATACAGAGTAGGAGGAAATAATCAAGACAGAGGGATTTGAAGTGATGGAATCATAAAGAGCTCAAGTTGGAAGAGAGCTTTAAATATCCTCTGGTCCAACATTTCCTGGCATAGGGAGATGAAATGGGATTATCTAGCACCCTATCTGCAACACCTGTTTGGTTTCCCACACCTATCCAGTCACATCTTGAAAATTTCCAGTGATGCGGACTCCCATCACATCCCTGGGTGGGTTGTTCCAGTGAATGCTTGTTCTTATTATCAAAAAAATTCTTTCATATGTCAGGATGAAACCTCTCCCAGTGCAACTTATCCTCACTACCCCTCGTCCTCTCCATGTGACTCCATGGGAAGAGAGACCCTCTATTCTCTTTATAGACACCCTTTAACTACTGGAATACTGTGATAAGGTCCCCCCAAGCCTTCTCTTCTTCAGGGACTATCACCTTCAGCCTTTCCTCACAGACAGGTTTTTCAGCCCTTTGATTATCTTCAAGGCTCTCCTTTGGACCCTCTCCCATCTGTCTGCAGTCTTTCTGAAGTGGTGGGGACAAGAATAGATACATTACTTCATGTGCAGCCTGACAAGCACTGAGTAAAGTGGGATGATCACATCTCTACTGCTGCTAGTAATGTTTTTGCAGATGTAGCCCAAAATCCAATTTGCCTTCACTGCTGCAGCTGCACACTCTGACTTATGGTCAGCTTGCTGTCCACCAGGACCCCCAGGTCCCTTTCAGTGATAATGTTCCCCAGCCACACAGATCATGGCCTGTTCTGGGTTCTTTGGTTATGTTGTCCCAGGTGCAGAACCTTACAGACTCTTTATTACATAGTCTTTATTACAAACTCATAGAATTCTGGCTCACCCACTCTTCCAGCCTGTCTAGGTCTCTCTGTAAGATGGCTTTTTCTTTTCACATGTCCACCTCACTATCAGTCTGATGTCATCAGCAGAATTGTGAGGCTGATTTCAATCGCATCATTAATCAGATCATTTATGAAGATATTCAACATCATGTGGCCCAGTATTGATCCCTGGGGATCACTGCCAGCCTGAGTGAAAAAGCATTGATCATCACCCTTTTAGTGCAGCCTGTTAGTCAACTCTCTACCCATCTTACAGATCACCCACTCAACCTGTATCTTGCCATTTTGTTCAGGAAAAGGCTGTGGGGAATGGTATTAAATACACCATTTTGCTGAAGTCCAGGTAAGCAACATCCACTATCCCCCCCTTGTCAACAGAAGGTGTTGAAGAAAGTCAAAAGAAAGAAGAGATTAAAAAGAAGTCTGAGATTTGTGACAGTGAGAGGAAGTAGTTTAAGAGGATGAGAATTTTAAATGACTTTAAATTTTCTGGAGAGAAACAGGGACATTTATGCAAGAGGTACAAATGATTTGCAATGACTTTTCACCTGTTGAAGTTGTGTGTGTTTTTGTAACATCTATGCACAGTTGCAGAAGCTGCTGTCTGATCTTAGTCTCAGGCTTCGCATATTGAATTGCTTCTCTGCACATGAAACAGAGCTTGACCTTTCTGGTGATGTATTCTGCTTCCATTCTGCCATAAAGCAACTGCCATAAAGCCATTCTTGATTAAGAACCAAGCCATATATTGTAATTAAATGCAACTAGAAAAATATTTACTTGAACATGGTCTTAATCACTGCAGACTGTCTGGTTGCACTCTTGACAGAAACCAATCTTTTCCAGCTCAGTTTTTTATTTCTCATCTGGTTAGTCCTGTTTATCATCAAAAATGTGGTAGGATAGGGAAATTAGTCCCTTTGGGGCATGTTCAAAAAAGTCTACTACTTCCTGAATGGATTATGAACTTCCAGAAGAATCAAAAACTGCTCTGACAAAAATTTTATAAATATGTATTATGCCATGTAATCCTAGAAAACATAAAACAAATTTCAAGTATGCCTGGTCCTTACATAACACTGAGGGAAATGGGGAGGGGACAATGAAGGCAGAATACAACCTTAAACAGTACCAGATTTGGACTCCTGCTAACTATACAGAAGTCAAATTGCAGTCACCAATTTAATAAGTGTGAAGGTTCGTATACAACCTATATTGTAAATTCTGATGTTTTTATCATGAATCATACAATGAAATACAATACAAGGCTCAATTTATAAGAAAATGGAAGATTTTCAATTTTTTTTTAAAGACACTTCTAGCCCCAAATGAATGAGGCAAAATGCTGAAAATTATATCACAGTATTATAAGCACTTAAAATTTCAAAGGAAAAAAACCAATCCAAACCATATTACTTCTAAATGTCCTTTCTTATTTGCAATTCCATGCTTTGGGTGTTTGTTTGTAGGGGCTATTTGAGGAGAAGTAGAGGAAAAAAGAAGAGCAGAGGAATTTGGGTGGCTGGTAATAATTTTTTTCACAAAAGTACTGCCTGTTTTTCTTGCTTCTCTACTCTTTTTTTGCAGTGAATTGTCTACTGTATCTCATAGTCTTCATGAAGTCAATTATTCTTAGAGGATTTTTCCATCAGCACGTTTTTTGCTGAATCACAGTGCCCATTTTCCAGGATTCATTAAGAAAAATAGTAATGAATGACACATAGTTCATTCATTTTCCCAGCTTCTCTTTAGATAAAATGTCTCTTTGTGACTGTCATAGTGCTTTCATGGCATAAATACAGTATTTCTCATATTTTGAAAATACAGGGTAGAAGATTAGGCCTAGACAGAAAGATTCTTGATTGCAGGACATTTGGCAGCAGTTGTGCTGACTGCCTTCAACCAAAACACGTTAACGTCTTTGGGATTCCCCTGGGATCAATAGGACAGAAAGAATAGAAAACAATCCAGAGAGTCAGATTCCAACAACAAATTGTCCAAGTTAATTTTTTTACATTGTAAGGAGGCTATATTTATAATGTCCACATGGCTTGATATCTATAATATTTATATTATTTTATTTGTATTTATATTATTTTTTAATATTTATTTAAATGTATGATGGTTAAATGTTACCTGTATTAGGTTTAATCATAACTAAAATAAAACTAAGGGAAATAATATAGACTTTTTACAGGTTATAATAAAAAGAAATTACTCATATTTAAAAAAAATTATTAACATATATGACATTTAATCTCTTTGCTATGTTGTCTATTTGCACTTCTTTATATGTGTACAATTCTACCTATACAAGTACAATACTACAGATTCCCCCAATTTAATAAAAATAAAAATAAAAAGGAAAGATATTCAGCATTTCTCTGTTTTAGTTAAGGAGGTTTATTTAAAATTTCTCTGGCATACTTACTGATTTTTTTTTTCCTTTTTTCTTTTTTCTTTCTTTTTTTTTTTTTTTTTTTTTTTTTTTTTTTTTTTTTTTTTTTTTTTTTTTTTTTTTTTTTTTTTTTAATTTAATTGTTATTTTTATTTTTTTTACTGTGAAAAAATCTAGCTGGTCACTGTGGTATTCCAGATCTTATAGTCAATGGACAAGTAATAGGAGAAAATTATGGATATAGAGACACAGTTGTATACCAGTGCAGTCCTGGTTTTCGGTTGATTGGTTCTTCTGTAAGAATATGTCAACAGGATCACAACTGGTCTGGTCAGCTTCCATCTTGTGTGCGTAAGTAAGAATGACAACACATATGGATTTATGTTGCAGGAATATCTATGTCAGAAAGATGAGGATTGAATTTGCAACTTAGTGTTCATTAAAAAAAAAAAAAGTTAAGGCAGGTCCTCAAAAGTGTGTGGCTACACAAAACCTATAACTCATGTATCAGGTGAAGTTAAGTGTTACCACTTAAAATTTCCACTACATCTTTTAGCTACTAAATACCTGGTGTTTATACATGGGTATGAAACATCAGTACTCAAATTTGAAAATGGCTTTATGACCCACAGTGGCTTTTGGAAATATTTTATGTGCATTTACTATCACTACTGATAGTTAGATAAGTAGATATTCTTGAATTATACTGTCAGCTGATGATTATACTGATAATCATTACACCGATGATTAAAATATTTTCTTCAAAAAATTGTAATTTTTTTCCTTACTATTCCTCACAGAGATGCTGGTATGTTTTCTTTTGTGTGATACGTGTGCCAACATATCACATAAAAGACCTCTAAGTAATAACAGAAAATTCTGTATTTAATTTAGGAAAATTTGAGATTTCTTGAAGGACTCTCAAGTAAATTACAACTGTATCTTTGTGGCACAAAGTCTCTCAATGATGAATCATATTCAATGCTAATTAATTTATTCTGTGATTTTTTAAATTTTTATTTTAAATTAATAATGAACACTTTTTTTATCAACAACTGGAATTTTTTACAGCATAGAAGAAAATGCTTATAAAGTTTTTTGAATAATTTTGTGAAAATTAATTTGTGTCTGATTTTCCTTACTGATTTTTTCATCTGTTTTTTATGGGCACATAAAATAAACTTTACCTTCTCTAGTCAGTTTTTGTATAAATATGAGAAAAATTTCACTGTACCCATAATGTTTCATATATCCAGTCATAAATTTATAACTTCACTAATATTTAGGCCTCAAAGATAAAATATTGAGTTGATACTAAGACCTATTTGTAAGAAATAATACCTGAGGAACTGAAATATATTTTTCTTAAATTTCAGGCTATATGTAATGAAAATCTAGTACTTGCTCTTCTCCTGCGTCTTCAGAAGAGTTTTCTTCATTTACCTTCATTACTGCATGTCAAATTCTATTCAGTTTATTTAAAATAAGTTCTTGAATTTGAATCCATCATGGGAAGTCCTCAGTGTCTGATAATATCAAAACTTGAAAATACTATTATATGATACTATTATATAATTATTATCTATTACATAATAAATAATGACCAGTGATAACAGCACGCTCTTTTTTGTTTCTTTGTTTTGTGCTTTGTCAGCTGTTAGCTGTGGTCACCCTGGTAGTCCTATTTATGGAAGAACAAGTGGAAATGGTTTCAACTTCAATGATGTTGTGACATTCTCGTGTAATACTGGGTATATTATGCAAGGACCAACCAAAGCACAGTGCCAAGCTAACAGGCAGTGGAGCCATCCACCTCCAATATGCAAAGGTAAGAATGCGGAATATACAGGTTTCCAACTAAATGTTGGAAATTTAAAGTTGAAAACAGAGGGTAAAATGACACTGTCATGACAAAGTGATCTCCCTCTTACTGAGAGACTGACTAACTAGCATACTAATCATATTATTAAGGATATTTTGTGATTCTATGATTTTTCACATTCAGCTTATCTGGATAACTGTTGCAGAGAAACTTTCTTATGTGCCTGTAGTTTGTATTGATTTTTTTAAAACCATTCCTACAAGCTCCTTAAGCAAAATTATGCAGAGATAATTAAAAGCTTAAATCCCGAAATAATGTTCTCTGCATTTTTGCTGACATAGTTCTAGTAGATGCATAAGAAAATCTGTATTTTATTTCTCTTATGTTTCCATTGATGCTCCATTGAGCATCTTTATTTTTAATTTTTTTTTCTAATTTGTTAGCCAATTTTTAATTCATTTATGTTGGTTCTCAATGCTCTAGATAATATTCTAAAAAAATAGTATTGTGGAATTAGTATTGTGGAATTTGAGTTTTCATAAGTACTTTTAGAAATGTTTTGCCACATTGTCTTTTTAAAATCTGTTGTTATGATTTTTTAAAATATTTTAATTGTTTTCATTTTGAAAAATGTATTTTTTGCTGTAGCCTACTTGAACATATGCAGAAATGGTGTTGCTTTTCAGCATCTTCTCTACAGCTTCTATGGATTTTTATCTGTACATTAACTAAGTCATATTATGTTTTCATAGGAATTTTATTTACTATATTTTCCTTCTAATAGGTGTTCTCCACTTTCATTTGATCACTTTGCCTTTAGTGATGTTGCCAAATAGTTTACAGAACTTAAGTTTCCAAGGGACTTCTTATTGATGGGAAGATATTATTTTTAAAATTTACAATACTAAACACTCTGTGTTAGGGTACCTACTTAATCTCATGTTCAGTCCAGTTGTTCTCAATCACCTCGGTATTCTGGTATTGCAGAGTAATATGTCAATGTATCTGATAAGTTATTGATCAGTAAATAAGTTGATCGGTTATGCTTTGAAATTTTACACAGTCCTGAAATCTTATACTGGTTTTAGAAGAGACTTTAAAACTAAAAAGAATTAACTTTGGGTAGGGCATCATTAATTGTGTCTGTCATGTGCAGTGAAATCAATTCTAATGAAAATAATTTTATTTGCTTTGAGGTTAAATAACAATAACAACAATACTACTACTTCTACTAATAACAATAATAATAGTTCCCCTGCATATTTGTAAACTGCCTAAAGTGAAATATTATAGGAAAGGCCTCACACCTTTACGAAGACTGAATTTGCAATTGTCATATAAATTCAACAGCGCACTTGTTGTTATACTATTTGCAATATGCTAAATAGCTAGTTTCCTAGCCAACTATAATAATGGTGGAAAACTATTGAAATGGTCAAAGTTCCTTCTATTTTATTTCAAGTACTCACTATTCCAGATTAATTAATAGATTATTTTCATTACTTTAAATACATGCTTAATAATATGAACATAGACAACACTCTCAGGCACATGGTATGATTCTTGGGGCTGTCCTATGCAGGGTCAGCAGATGGACTTCAGTGATTCTTGTGGGTCCCTTCCAATGCAAGATATTCTATGATTCTATGGTTGTTCAACTGACATAAGTGATAGGAGACCATTTAAAGACCGTTTTAGGAGACTGTATTTGTATGACTCTTAAGTCTCTGCTCTTTTTCTTTTTAGTGGTCAATTGTTCTGATCCTGGAATTCCTGCAAATTCTATAAGAGAAAGTAAAATAGAACATGGAAATTTCACATATGGCACAGTGGTATTTTATGACTGTAATCCTGGATATTTTTTATTTGGCTCTTCAGTTTTAATTTGTCAACCAAATGGCCATTGGGACAAACCTCTCCCTGAATGTATTAGTAAGTAGATAATGAGTTTACTTCTGCAAAGAATGTGGGCTAGACTGGGTACTATTTTACACAACATTTCCATCAGTCTCATGACAGCAATTACGATAATCATGTTTAATATACATTTGTGTGTGTGCAGTACTGATGAAAGGTCTCAATAGCAGCTGAAGCAGCAGTTAGATTGTTATTGCATGTGGCAAATGGGGCAAGCAATAGTCAAAACAAACACCTCTGAATGCTCCAGCGTAATAATCCCTGATAGCAGGAACACAAGGTCAAAACATATCTATTGAATTTGCCAATACCTGTCTTCCACTGGCCACAGAGTTCTTATCACACTGAAACCTAAAACCTACAGTATGCAATTTTTGACTTATATCAATACAGTCATTTCTGGACTTCTCTCGGGACAGCAGTTAGATCAGACTATCTATGAAGATACCAAGCACTGTAGAACTCCTAAAGTGTCCTCTGGATAATGTCCTCAGTTTACCACAGTAGCAGATCTACCCGAACATCATACTCATATGCAACCTATCCACTAAGGCAAGTGGATCAACACAAATAGGTTCTTTATATTCTGGCTTGTCATGAACAACTTTCTAACTGTGACGTAGATATAGCCAGAGATGTTTCTTATGTTTTTAATTGGCTGGGACAGCTGATTTACCTGGTTCTCTATTAGTCTATGAAAAGGGTTTGGTTTACGGTCAAAATTTTTCTCTGAGAAAGGCTGAAAGCTTTATTTTCTAGAGATTAAAGGGAAAACAAGTTAAGAGTTTCTTATTTGAGAATTATGGACTGATATTTGCAATATTGTAGATATTTGTTCTCAGGAGGCTTCTCCAGTTCTGCTATTCTCTCTCTAAAAATAAAAGAAGTATGAAACTATTTTCTTATTACAGCTAAAACTTTCATTTATGGAACTTTTCCCTTTCTTTAATGGGATAAATAGTTTGATTGCAAGTCACAGTTAAACTAAAAAAGAAGTGTCTCTTGGTTTCACATTAAATTTAAAGGTAACATTACCATTTCAGAAAGAGAAATGTTGCTTAATAGTAACATATCTACAAAGAGAGCAGAATTTTAAGGTAAAGTTGCAAAGATTTCTTCTTTCTACATTTGTATTTTTATCTCTCAGTCATTTTTTTCTGAATTGTCACAAGTAATTTAATGATACAGCTTTTATTTTAAACTGAGCTTTGGGAGTAAGAGTGTTATCTGTACTTTTGAAAGGGCATCCTCCCCTTTATTTGTGTTGTTTATATAAAGAGGTCAATGATTTCTACCTGGGTGCTGTCCATGATATTTTGTAATCACAAGCTTACCAAAACTTATTCTGTTGCAGCTACTCAAATTTTTTGTAAGAACCTTTCACCTCTGGAGTATTTTGCAAATTATTGCTGGAGAGGGACTTTTTTGCGAGGGCATGTATTGATAGCACAAGGGGTAATGTAGCGGTTTTAAACTAAAAAGGGTCAATTTAGATTATATATAAGGAAGAATTTTATATTTTTTTCAGTGAGGGTGTTAAAATAGAAAAGAAGAACTTTTTGGAAACAAAATGGAGAATGAATTAGCATTAGCAGAAAAAAAAGAAATACAATCAACTTTTCATATGAAATCCTAGCCTGAAAATATGAATACAAATTAAAGTTTGTAGAATGCATAATCAATTTAAAGGTAGCATTAAGGGTACTATACTTTTTAAGATCAGTTGTTAGGGATTCAAGACTTTTAGGCATAAATGTAAACAAAAAAGGGAAGTGTGTATAGAAAAGCCCAAAGCTGTAAGCTGTAAGGTACCAGTATGATATTAACTTTTCCTCTATGACATCTGAATAGGACAAAAGAATCAATCAAGAACAAAACAGATAATGAAATATTCTGAAAAACTGTGAATGTTTTCCACAAGAAGAAGTCTCATTTTGTTGAATCCTGCATGATCAACATGTCTTTTTATTAACAATGTTCCAAGTTTGCAATCTCTGCAATAATACATAATAATAATAGATTTTAGTTATAAGGAATTGATTAAAAATAACATGCTGACATCAGGTGCTCAGTATGTAAAGCTGACTATTCTGATCATTTTACTAAAAGTCCCACAAGCATAAAAGTTGTACACAGGGGTCAGTGACACCAGGTAGAAGCAAAGTCATTGACATATCACATTCCTAAATCATTTGTGGGGCTGTCGGGAGGGTTCTACACCTTGGAAGTTGGACCCTTGGAAGAACATAAGTGCAGAGCAGTATATACATAAATTAAAGCTCTAAGACCAAGAATAACTACTAGAGAAAGACAAATCACACATGATTTTGGTTATATGCTGTGTTGTACAATCCCTGTACTGTTGCCTATATCTGAAATGCTATGGAATTGAATACATCCTCAACCCTGATCAGGCTTCTGATTTGGATTTTCTTTTTTAAATAAAAAAATCCTGCTGAAAATAGTATTGAATACAATGAAGTTTTGGTAAAAACTACAGTTGTATGATTTAAGGGCCTGTTCTACTACCCCGATATTTGCAGCTCTAATTTGTGGGTTTCATGGTACATAAATATCTTTGGCTGAGATAAGCCGCATGCCATGGACAGGTGTAAGGTAACAAGAAATCAAAGATGCAGGCCTGGATTCATTCTGTGAACATAGTGAATTTGGTTTATGAATTTTAACTGTGCATTTCCTGAACGTGACATATTGAGTTTGCTTTTAAATTAACTCTTTGCTCTCAATTAAGAGAGATGAATTTCTGCACATTCTCTGCCACAGCAGTGACTAGGGCAGATACTGTCTACATGTAATTTTTCTCTGAAGAGTACAAGCATGAATGTATGTTTGTGTGCGTGCATGTGTTCATGCCATAAAGATCAACTTAGTGAATGAGTGGTTTTGGACATTGATATCTGTATCTAAAATACCTTTTTTTTGACATCTCCAAACATTTGTTTCACAGCTTTTGGTCTGAAGTATATTTTGCATTCTAATCCCATGATGTTACCCCTTTCCCACATACCCTAAAAATTTCAACCTCTTCACAAACTTTATTTATGCAGTTATGAAAATGAAAATTGCAAACTGTTTGATCAGTGATAATAACCTTTTTTCATCTCCAATAATTATGCATTGTAGTGATTGACTGTGGACATCCTGGAGTTCCTCCTAATGCGATCCTGTCTGGTGATAAATACACATTTGGGTCTACTGTCCATTATAGCTGCACAGGCAGACGATCATTGTTAGGGCAGTCATCTCGGACATGTCAGTTAAATGGACACTGGAGTGGATCTCTCCCTCATTGCTCAGGTAATATTTCTGAATTAATGATTATATCCTGAAGTTGTTTAAAATTTATTTTGATATTTTCAGAAGGTCATTTAAAAATCTGGAAAATCACATATAGAACTAAAGTACCACGACAGTAGAAGCAGAAAAAGTAAACCCAAAATAAGTATAAAGTATCCACGAGAAAATAATCTGGAAGAAGTAGGCTTTCTTGGTGACATTTAATATGAAATTCACAGATTGTGAAAAGAAACTGGTACTTGAAAAATGTCTACTGATTTGATGACACCTCAGGTGTAACTCGATTGTGTAATACATTCCTCTGTATAATAAGGCCAAATGGGCTCCACATAATTTCAAGGTAGGATGCTTTTTTTTTTTAGGAAACACTATCTAATCCTCATAATAGATTAACCCTCACCAAAGTCAAGATATGTTTTCTGAATCACTTATTGCTTAGGAATATTGTGTTTCACAACTTCAGTTTGATTCACTTTAACAGCAGTGATCAAATGAAAAACATAAATCCAAGTCACACGCTAATTTGGGATTTGGCTAAATCCCATTTGTTTTTGTAGACTATGTAAACAAATATTGTGATAAATGTTAACCTTGTTATTAGTTTTAATTCTCGGTAAATACTGGGGGAGGTTATTTCTTGTCATGCTCATGTTTCATTATATAACTTAAAAAAATCAGTGGGGTTTCTTTAAGTTGCGTAATTTAGATAACTTAGATTAACTTCAATGGCAGAAAATAAGTAGAAAACAAGTGACATTTTTTCTTAGATTACAACTATGCCAAAGCTAGAGGTGAAAAATAAATGGTATGCAAATCTGACTACTACTATACTAGTTTCACACTAAAAATCCAAGGTTCTTCAGAGTATTAATAAATAATAGAATCATAGAATGGTTTAGGTCAGAAGGGACCTTTACAAATTATCTAGTCCAACCTAGTAGGGACATCTTCCACTGGCTTCATCTAATAGTTTTGGTTGGAAGGGATCTCCAAAGATCATCTAGATCATCCACCCTCACCGCAATGACAAGGGACATATTCCACTAGATCAGGTTGCTCAAAGACCTGTACAACCTGACCTTGAATACTTCCAGGGATGGGGCATCCACAAGTTCTCTAGGCAACCTGTTCCAGTGTCTCACGGAACGCATCATAAAATAATGTCTTCTTTATACCCAACCTAAACTTAACCTCTCTTAGTTAAAACTGTCGCCTCTTGTCCTGTCACTACAGACCTTGATAAAAAGTCACTCTCCATCTTTCTTATGTATTTTATACATTGAAAGGCTACAATAAGGTCTTCTGGATGCCTTCCTTCCCTTTTTCAGGTTGAAGAGCCCAAATTCTCTCAGCTTTTTTGCATAACAGAGGTGTTTCAGCCCTCTGATCATATTTACGAACTTCCTCTGGACCTGCTCTAACAGGTCCTTGCTCCTGTTTTATAGGGAACTTCAGAAATGGACACAGGAGTCCAGATGGGGGTCTCACATATTCTAATCCTATTTTTTTCCCTGCCCTCATCTCTTCAAAGTATTTGGTTATAAACTGATTATGTCAGCTACAGTTTCAGAGCATGCAATTTTACAGCCCATGGCAGAAATAGTTGAAAATTAATATAAAATATTAAAATAAAACTTCTTGGTTAAAATCTTGCATTAAATTCTAAAGCATTGAAAGAATTTTTCAGTATCTGAACCTTCCTCTGCAAACTCTTAGGAAGCTAAAATGTGACAGAACCTAGAAAAATGGAACACGTAATTTAATGCCTGAACTTTCTATAAATAAAGCAGAAGGAAATTTGACATAATTAGAACAAAGATCAAGTTCTTATAAGCTTTGATGTTTACAACTCTGCACTAGAAATCACACCTTAATGTAAAATAATCTTATTTAATAAATAATTATATATTAATGTAATTTGCAAATTTGAACCATGTTAGTAAAAAGTGAGTTTGCAGTTTACATGCATCAATATTTGTTTTGGAGAAAAAACCTGTTCTTTAGATAAAATCTAAGGCTACTTATTTTAGTTTTCCATGGTCTTCATAAGAAAAAAAAAAATTAAAAATCTAAACTGTGAATTACAAAAATAATTAAAGAAGTAGACAAAAATATCAAGGAATACAAATAGGAAGCCTGAAAATACGGATGAAAATATCAAAGAAGCCTCACTGAAAAAAGGACTATTCTTATAATAATTCTCCTATTGAGTTAAATAAGTGTTGAAATATCTTGGGTTAAGCATTTCAAAGTGAGGTGCATTATTTTTTTTCTAATGATGGCTTTTTTACCCACAGATAGGAAACTCTAATCAAATCTATTTAATCTTTCTCAATACATGAAGAAACATTTCCTTGACATAAATTTAAATGTTAATTATAATGAATCAAAATGTATAGAATACAAACTCCTCTCTTATTTTCCTTAGCTGTAGCATACCAAACTATAATTTTGAGATTTTGTATTCAAATTGTATATCTGAAATGTTTTCTCATTATAAATAATGAGTTCACTATACAGAACTTCCATATTTTGTATCTAAAAATACGTAAAATCATCAGCTAATGCATATTAAAGCCTTAAAATTTGCGTATTTTTATATTATTGATAATAAATAGCATAGAATGTTCAACTGAAAAAAGGTACAGCATGCTTGACCTTTTCATCGATGAAAAAGAATTGAAATAGAAAATGCTAGGTCAGTGAAAATAAATAATCAAATTATTTCACATCAACCCTATGACAGTTTCTTTTTTGTCACATGACACTGAGCTAGAAGGAATTGTCATGTCCCATTGATATATATTGCCATTCAGAAACAGTTTTCAATCATCATGTGCACATCAGATGGAGTCAGAAATTTTCTGCAACATAGAATTCCTCGTAAGTGCAGCAGGGTTTTATACATACTTAAGTAGTCTAAATACCCTCCATTTCATTAAGATTAAACGTGAGCTAAGAATTTGTTACACATGTGAGTGAAGGATGGCTCATAAATTACTGTAAAAATCACTTAGTTGAGTCTGCATGAGGTAATAAAAATATGTTCTCTTATGATATCATTGCTTATATCACTGTCACTTCCTGATGTGATTAGTCATTTAGAAAGATTATTTCTGTAACCTTCAATCAAAAGAGCTGGTGGTTAGCCTTCCTAAGATTAAAAGTGTAATAATTCACAGTAATAATTAGGCATTAGGAAAGAACACATGATTTCATTTGGAAGAGGAATATGTGATTTCTACTTGGCTTAGCAAATAGCCTATTTTAATTTTTTCATCATAAAATTATTTTAGGCATACTGCCAAGTAACTTGTCACAAATTGAACTGCTTTGTGAAGACTTTGCAAGTATAGAATAATGAATAGGCCCTGTTCAAATTTTGTCATAGTCTAAATAAATAATACTGGCAAATGTGGATTCCCAAAAAAACCTTGATATTCTAAAAAGATGCAGCAAGCAGACTATTTTCAAACAAGAGGGGTGTTTGGTTGGACACAAAGTATTTTGAAAGTTTATAAAATGTTTTTACTTACTATAATCTGGAACTTTTAGTCTTTTTAATCAGGTTTGGCAGACTACTTTACTGATCTGTGTCACATAATGAAATGCATAAACAGAGAACAGCCTAAATTTTTGAGTCTGTGATTTTGAACCAGACAGTTCTTATACTTACTTGAGTTAATTTGCTATTTCTGAAAGCATTAAAATATATAGTACTGTGTACTCCTTGGATATATTGGACTAAAACAAGTATTTGTCATATGCCACAGTTATCACAGGAAAGTAAGCTAGTTCTACTCTTCTTTTTACTATCCAGTTCTGTACATACTTTTGTCAGCAAAGAGATGTGTCCAACCCTTCACTCTCACCAGCATTGGTTACACACACACAGTGCCAACCAAGGCAAGAATAGCTCTGTTTTTCCCTCCATGTGCTACTTCAGGCTCCTAACTTCTCACAGAACCTCTAGATAGTGAGTTTTGGTCTTCTGCATACTTGGAGTAGGCAACTTTATGTACTATTTCTATGTAAGAATTTTTCTTATTATTGCTATTTAAACTTAGATAAACACCAGAAAAGTATGGCTATTCTACATAACACAGCCTTTACATAATTGGAATAATTCTTTCTAGCTGATTCTTGAAATATTTCACCTTTATTTACAATAGTGTAGCTAATTACAAAATAGTGCAGACATTCTCACAAAAATATTATTATGTTTTACTTATTTTGTGTATGGAAAACATTTGTTTTATTTGCAAGTTGTTACAGAAAACTGTAATCTATGGGCAAAAACCTGAACAGTGCAACTCCTAGAATTCTAGAATTCAACTCTTTAGTATTGGAACTCAGTATAATATGCCTTCATCTCTTATGACATAGAAAACTGTCTTAAGAATCTTTATAAAGATAAAGCAGAAGTACATATTAAAGGATTCAAACAACTGACCTACTGTTCAAATAGTGTGTTACCTAGAGCTTCCCAAAAATTATCACCATAACTAAAGATTTAGATATACAATCTTTTTGATATTTTTCTTCTTCTCCTCCTTTTCCTTTTCCTTTTCCTTTTCCTTTTCCTTTTCCTTTTCCTTTTCCTTTTCCTCTTTTCCTTTCCCTTTCCCTTCCCCTTTCCCTTCCCCTTCCCCTTTCCCTTTCCCTTTCCCTTTCCCTTCCCCTTTCCCTTCCCCTTTCCCTTCCCCTTTCCCTTCCCCTTTCCCTTTCCCTTCCCCTTCCCTTTCCCCTTCCCCTTCCCCCTCCCCTTCTCCCCCTTCTCCTTCTCCTTCTTCTCCTTCTCCTTCTCCTTCTCCTTCTCCTTCTCCTTCTCCTTCTCCTTCTCCTTCTCCTTCTCCTTCTCCTTCTCCTTCTCCTTCTCCTTCTTCTCCTTCTCCTTCTCCTTCTCCTTCTCCTTCTCCTTCTCCTTCTTCATTACCATGTTGATTATGCTAAGATCTATATGTACAACAGATAGTTGAAAACATTAATACTCTATCTTGGAATTTGCTTAAAATTTTCTACGTAAGGGAGACTATCTAAGGCAGTTTTGAAGGGATTTTTCAACATTTCTGTAAATCAGGGAAATGCTTCAGGTTTAGTATGCGTAAGATTGTTGACTAGAACTTTCATTCAATTGTAAAACTATTTCAACTCTAATCATTCCACCATAAAACTGTATTAAAAAAGTATAAAAAGTATTTTTTGAACACTAGTTATACGGAAAAAAGAAAATTGTCTTTACAATCGGGACCTTGGTTTTCCTCAGAATTCCCTATTATAAATGAAAAAATGACCAAAATTTTGTGGTTGTCTTTTTTTTTCCCTATTCTTATTTGATTATGTTATCAGAAGTTTAGTATTAAGGGAATTTGAGATAATTATAATTCTTTTTCTGTACTTATATAAAATAAGTACAAAGAAATTAGTGGAGAATCAAGTAATTTTGTAATTACAGGGACTCATTCTCACTGATACATATGGAGGTTTTTTCTAAAATATAAACATAAATTTATTTCTAAATACATAGAAACCTACATTTTAAATCCAGTATCATAACAACATTTCATATTATTCAATCTTTGTACTCTAAAATCTAGGTGATACAGCTGGTTCTTGTGGTGATCCAGGTATCCCAGGTCATGGGTCTAGAGAAGAAAACAATTTTAAAATTAAAAGCACAATACATTTCAGCTGTGATATTGGATATATCCTCCATGGCTCAGAAGAAAGAACGTGTCTGGCAAATGGAAGTTGGACAGGAAGACAACCAGAGTGCAAAGGTAAATCAAAGAAGATCCATTCTAAAGAAAATTCATTCTATTTTTAAACTGTATTTTTATTAGTGTTAACCAGAAAACCAATTTTACATTGCCAGCTTTGTGTTGTGAATGGTGTCATGTTAAAAGAAGCAAAAAAAAAAGAATTTTCTGTCCAACCTGTGTTAATTTATTTTTTTGTCTATCAATGTTCTCCCCACCAGGAGATCAAAGCCTTCTAATGTCCGAAACAGTCTGTTAGCATCTCACCTAATGAGACTCTTCACTTAACAGATTCACTGAGACTGACAGGATATTTGATACCTTTTGATATAAGGACTCCATTTAACAGCGATAGAAGAACCCCTCAGCAGGTTTCTCCTAAGGGTTATTTTGCCATCGATGAAATTGTCAGCACCTAAAAATGTACTCATTCTAACAGTTCACGAAATAACATGTTTAATAATACAAATTTGTGACAATTTATGGGGTTCTTTGTGTCTGGAATAGGGTCTAACTGCAAAACACACTTAAACTATGTAATAGTAATAATAAAGCCAAGCATAGGCACAGACGTTAAAGGAAAAGCAACTTAAAAAGATGTAAAACAACTTACAAAGAATAAGTAAAGCAGAAAACTTAAGCACATGCCCTAAAGCAAAAGCAACTTACAAATAAGTAAGACAACTTACAAAGAATAAGTAAAGCAAAAAAACTTAAATATGCATTATAAAGCAAAAGCAACTTACAACAAAGTAATAAGTAGAAATTTTAAAGTACTATGGAGCAAAGGCAAAATTGGTAAATATGTATTAAGTGATCGCTCACCACGAGGCGTCTTAAGAAGGTGGAGCAAGAAAAAGGTATCTCGTCAGTTCCCTCTACAGAGTTGATGGAACTTCTCCTCCACTTTTGCTTGGGTACAATCTCTTTTTATACTTTTTTTCTTTAGGCAGTTTGAGTGGCTATAGTCAATAAACTAATTTTGGGGTGATAGATGGATGAAATAGGCCCAAGGGTCTACTTCCTGTGTTCCCAGCATCCAGGATGTTCACCAGGAAAAGGCCTTTCTTCATTTTAATCCTTTTATCAGTTTCTGGGAATGTCTCCCCAGGTGTCGGGGTTTTCCCAGAAACCATCAGGAGATTGTTTTCTCCTTTTGTGTGGCCTTTCTATCACCTTACAAATGTTATGCAGTTGATTTTGGACTTAATTTTTTTCAAATAAATTGTTAAACTGTAGCAGTGGCTTGGCATCAGGTGACAAATTTGAAACCAGTTCTTGGCACCCATGAAATTTCATGTTTTCTAGTTTTGAGAAAAAAAAAATTAGATTAACCTCTAGAACTCAATTTTTTGCTGAAGTATTTTTGCACGTAAAAATCTCACCATAACCTGACCTTTAATCACAACCATTATACACCTGAATTTCAGACAAAAGAGCTCAGTTTTAGGAAAATATCAGTGTCAGGATTTTGTTAGATACATCTATGTATAAATAATTGGCTTAAAATTTCAATTACTGGTACTGTTGACATTATTATTTTTCAATAGAAAACAAAATGCAGAAACAAATTTATTTGTAAAAAATAATTTGGAAATTTAAAGGAAGAAGAATTACCATAAAAGAAAACTCCAACAAGATATTTATGGGGAATAATTTATTACCTAAATTTTCTTGCTTCAAAATAGGAGATAATTCCCAACAGATTATTTTGCAAATAAAAGCTTCCTGAAAAGCATAAAACAATTTGAGAACCTGTGCTCTTATTTTCCACTTTATCACTGTTGACTTTGTTACCTCTATGAAAGTGTCATGACATTTTAAAAACTTATTTCAAAGGCTGATTTTGTTATGTCCTTTCTGCTGAACAATTGCTGTCCTGACACTGTATAAATAAATAAGTAAATAAATATAAATATATATATATTTCATATATATATATATATTTATGTTGGTATCTGAAGGAATATGTTTAGTCCAACTGAATCAACTGCTATTTTTCTTTGATCTCATCTATTAACTAGCTCTTTTACATTTCAAGATGCTTTTGGTGATTTTTTTTTTCTTGAAATGAGAAATATAGTTCACAGATATATTGAGATATGGGTGATGCATGAACAGGTATATAGTTCTAATTTAGATCATATAGTTTAGATGTATGTATATGTAATCACATAAGAAAGATACATTCAAATTCCCAAGTCGAGTGTTGAAGAACTGGAAAACATCAGGGTTCCACCTGCCTATGAAATAATATTTGACAACATCCTGTGCTTTGAAATAGGAAAAATATTTTGGTGATGCTAGAAATGCACACATACTATAGATAAGAATTAAATCTACAATGATAATTGTCATTGTCATGGCTAGGCTTCACGAACGAAGATTTGGGAAGGCACTACCCACGCTTGTTGCAAGCACGTTGGTGGCTAAAAAGGCCAATATGAGATAGGCATGTCCAGTTGCAAAAGGCACAGCAGAAAGACTCCTTAGATGGTGTATTCTGCAAGGCACGATTCTTTCTGCGCTGTCTTTTCTCCTCAAGAGTGATCCAGCGTGCTTCCTCAAAAGCATCAGCAGTGTTATAGATGGTGTGTCTCCAGACCTTCTGGATGGAGGCCAGAGTAGACCAGTTATGTTGATCAATATGGCCAAGGCTGAGATGTTGTTTCAGGGAGTCCTTGTATCTTCTCTTTGGGGCTCCTCTCTTGTGGCAGCCGGTGGAAATTTCACCATAAAGCAAGATCTTAGGGAGGCGGTGGTCCTTCATCCTTGAGACGCAGATCAGGTATTTTCTTATAATTGGGAGTTCGTTTTTGCAGCTAAATTAGCTTTTCACTGATGCAGATTATAAAGCTAAATTTCTACGTTATGTTTCCCTACATACAAAAGGGTAAAAACTACTACTTTGTGCATACAACTATTTACTGTACAATGTGCCTTATCAGCAGGTGGTAAAACATACATTTTTCAGGACAACAGTGTGGATTTCCACCATAACACTGCTGGCAGCAGGATTATTCTTAGATATTCCTATTTCAAAAATCACCTTTACCGCATTTTGAAAAATATTTAACATTTTCCTTTATAGCTGTGCAGTGTGGTAATCCAGGAACAACTGCTAATGGAAAAGTACTTCGTATCGATGGCACTACATTCTCTAATTCAGTAATTTATTCATGTGTGGAAGGATACATACTTTCTGGATCATCTGTAAGACAGTGCACTGCCAATGGAACATGGTCTGGATCCTTGCCAAACTGCACAAGTAAGACATATTTCTAATGAATAGTCTCTGATTTTCCTCTCCTCTGAAAGACAATAAAGTAGAATATAGAAGCTGCATACCAATAAATTAAGTTTTCAGCTTTTTCTTGCACTATTTCCTGCATAATTTTGTACATTAAATACTTCAAAAAATATAATGCTATGCAAATGTGAAGATTATGTTTTTTTAAAGGCAGACACAATATAGTAAAATATATAAACTGTAACTGCTGTCACAGTTCAAGCAATTGCACGGTTACATGATCTACCTACTTGAATTCTTTCCTAGTACGTATATTTTAAATCTTGTTTATGTTTTGTGATACATCATATTCAGACATTTTTATTTTAATTGCTTTACTTCATCTTGAAAACTTATAATATTCTGGTCTTTCAGAGGGTGGAAAATAAAAACCTTGTCATAAACACCTGAGAATTATTTTCTAGTGACTCCAAGGTCAAAACTGTTGTCCTGCTTTCACATGTCATCTTCTGTTTGGCCTCTTCATTAACCTTAAACTTGCTTTGGCTACTCAACTAACAGAAGCTATTTCAGCATCTCTCACATTCATAATAAGCATTTTGCAACACTTTATTTTCAAGCCCATCTGTTCCTGCTTTATTACATGTCCTAGTTCATCTTTTAGTAACAATTTTGAAAATTTTACATTTATGTGACTCATGAGACTGCCTATCATTTTGAGGAAACTATCCTCATCAGAGGTATAGCAAACTGTTGTTTAAATTTTGAACATACTTACAGCAACCCAAATAGAGCCCAAAATTTAGATGATAAAACTTATGTTATTTTTAAATCAGTCTTTATTGGTAAACATGTGAACAGCTATTTTTGCAGTCATCAAACGAATCAGATTAATTGTACTGAGGATAAAGATGTTTTGTGATGTCAACTGCATCTATGTTTTTTCGTTTATTTTAGAATGGCATGCCAAAACAGTCTTCTCAAAACACACTGCTCAGGTAGAAACATGAGATTTTTTCTTAAAACCAAGAAAAATATCTTAATAGAAGAAGTATCCTAATAAAACAAGGGGAAGGAGATTCAGGATATGCCAATTTTGTATAGTCCAGATGTTATCCAAATTTACAGCCAGTCCATACTTATTACAGCTGCTTCTTGCATATCATTCAAAATGCTAGGTTTTAGAGCTAACATCCTATACCCTTTAGGTGCTGGGAGCCCTGGGCAGTGTACCATCGAATAAGACTGTCCCATGTGCAACATGTCGTGCAGACCTATAGCAAAGATTCTCCCCTTTCAACTCTGCAATTTGTTATAGGATTTTCTTAGGAAGAAATAACAATATCATTTCTACAGTCAAACAGAAACAATGTTCTCATGAGAGCTTCTTATTGCACTGCTAAATAAAAAGCAAGGACAGCAGTCAGCAAGGTGGAATCGTGGATTGGGGGCTGCCTGCAGCAACTCTGCTGCCGTGAGCTGTCTGAGGTTGTGTCCTGGCCCAGAGATCTGTGTGGCTCAGGTCTGAAGGCCACGCTGGATGTGCAGCACAGGGCAGCACAGGCGTGGGGCTCCCCAGCTTAAATGTAGTGGTTCACTGACTCGTCAATGTGCAGTGGTCTTCTGGTCAGGATCACTACAACAGTTTAAGCTCTTTTTTGCCTACCATAGTGACCTGAGTGGTGGTGATCCAACTGAAATGAAACAAAGATTAGAGAAAAAAAGGAAAAATGCATAAGCTTTATGTTTTAATTCAGTCAAAACAATAGTATACTTGGAAAAATATTGAGGATGATTTTAGCAAAATTTGAACATTAAGGATAATAAATGGAATATGTTAAATAGAGAAAGGTAGAATATACAGAATATTTGAATATGCTTATGATTCTGTCTTTTCCAGATTTATATTATTTGAAAAGTGACCATGAAAAATCTATGACTTTTTAGTTTTTAAAAAAATTAAAATTACTGTGTTCCTAGGTAAACTAAATTAGGCTGATCTCGATTTTCCTTTATCAGTGCACTAGCCACCTTTAGACTAACCTAGATAACCCTGTAATATGTTTTCTAGTGTCTTCTGTGTCCGCAGACAGTGATTACATGTGACATCTTAAGATTTATGATATATGCCACATAATTAGTATCTGATCGCTCAAACTGTGATAAACTGTAGAGCAAGGTATATATACCATATGTACCTTGGATTCTCAAGTCCTCAGTTATTAGGTCAAGGGACCTGGCCAGAATACATCACGAATATGTAGTCATGGATTTTTGTGATTTTGGAAAGCAGGATACGGAGAGGGTGCCATTCACATCCATCGTGCTTTAGCATTGACTTAAAAGTAGACATGATATGCTTTCTGCCCAGGAAACTGCCTCCCATGGTTTTCCAGGAGCAATAGCAAAGCTCTAGGGGCATTGTCAAGTTTACTATAAAATAAAAAAATAAACCGAAAAACACATGGAATACTATATTTTGTATAAACTAGATTTCCCCCTCTCCCCCCCCTTTTTTTTTCCTGAAAACAACCACTTTTTATTAGAGTTCAGTATTTGGACAACACTCTCAGGTACATGGTGTGATTCTTTGGGATGGTCCTGTGCAGGGCCAGGAGTTGGACTCGATGATCCTGATTGGTCCCTTCCAACTCAGCATATTTTGTGATTCTGTGATTGTCACTAGTATTCTCAAGATTTCTTACTCTGAAAACAGAAGTTGATAGATCCAGTTGACTGGATCTGAAAGAACCTTATCTGTTTTAACACTATTTTCAGATTACAACGGTATAAAACTCTTTATTAACTCCTTGGGAATATTTTATTTCATTAGGAGATTATGTCCTAACACTAAAAGTCACAAGAGGTTTTACAACCACTCCTACTCATTAAAGTACCATAGACCTAGTTTTTACGTAAACCACAGTCCAACGTTTGGGGGTTGGCTGAATATTTTCATCTGTTTATGTACATAGCAACCATGTGAGCATTTCTAAAGTTTTTGCAGACATATATCTTAATTTTTCCAGGTTGTATTTTCTTTCAGAATGTATCCATGGAAAAGTAAGCTAAATAATAGATATCTGCTTTTTTTGTAATGAAACTGATCTGATAGGAAAGTTTTAGGCTATAAAAGGGTGGCACTGTCATATGGATAATTTCTTGCCTTTTTTTTTCATTTTATAATCTTGAAATTTTGTCAATGAAAATTGTACAGTCCTTTACTTCTACTGTTAAACAAAAATGTTTATGTTCTCCAAATATAATTGTTATACAGCTCTACATAAATTTGGCAGCTAATTAAGATGACATATGTCTTTATCTTCTCTTGTTGGAGATAAGATTTTTGATACCTTTTTCTTCTCCTTCTTTTTGCCAATAAATGCCTAGTTTTGTCCTGTGTTTTTCCCCTCACATATAGATAAATCTCATTTAGATTTTCAAATATGTTACTCAACTATTTACTTGCAGTTATCAGTTGTGGAGATCCAGGAGTCCCAGCCAATGGCATGAGATATGGTGATGATTATGTTGTTGGACAAAATGTTACTTATATGTGCCAACCTGGTTATACAATGGAAGCAAATAGCTCCTTAATTCGCACTTGTACTAGCAATGGCACGTGGAGTGGAGTAATCCCAACATGCAAAGGTACAACACTTATTTTGCTTGTCAGCTATTTCTTCTATTACATTTACATACACTGTTGATTGTAAATTGTTAATTTATTGTATATTTCCAGAGAAATCGAAACTTACTGTAAAACACTTTATTATTTTGTCGCTAAACTTAATTATCCAATATGAAATGATGGTTTATAAAGTTAGCATGTCATATAAAAATAACCATTTATATATCCCTGCATTTACAAAAACACTCAAACGTGTGAAAGACACCTTTGGGAAAGGTCTGCGCATATACAGAACTTTGTCAAAGGCAAATTGTTCTGAGTTACCCTGTCTGTAATACTAAGATTTTCCTTTGATCCCTCCTGTATTAGATGGGCACTTTCAAGACTCATCATGCTACAAAAAGACTAAATTCTTCTAGCAAATTTCACAATAAAGATTTTTCTGCTTCATCTTAGTTTCTCTACTGTGAAAACTGAAAGGATTAATTTCAAGATAATCTTTTTCTCTCTTCTAATTGCATACCTGATTTTTGTTTTGGTTTTTTTTTGCTTATTTGTTTCTTTGCTTGTTTGTTTGTTTTGTTTTGTTTAATGCTTGTTGAAATTTAAACAGCAAAAATTCTGAATATTGCTGAAAGACAAACTTATCTGTCTCATCAAAAATACTTTCTCTGAGAAACTCACTTGCTAAACCCTAAAGTAACTTCTCTCTACAGTAATTTTTCTCACTCTTCCTGTTAGTACACCTGTAGAGAAGCAGCATTAGCATTTTGGTGTTTTCTTTCTGGGTTCACACTAAGCATGTCTGATCTCTATTCTTTCAAAACTTAGTTAAGTTTGTGTCTGTTTTGTTCTTATCTATCTTCCTTCTGTTTCATTTTCAGGAAGCACAGTAACATAGCTGTTCAGCAGTTCTCACTTTCCTCCCCTGAATTCATTCATCAAAATAAATTAATTTCAAGGCTTCACCCCATTTGCAATTACTTTTTTCCTGCTGAGTGCAATTCCCCCAATATCTTACCAAGTACAGTTTAATGCTAATTCACCTTTGATAATATCAATTTTTAAAGTTATTTTCCTGACACATTCTTGAGGACATCAAACTTTGAGACACTTTTTTTTCTATTCGCACTGTGCTCTTAACCTGCCTCAGTTTCAATTCATATTTATTTTAAGAACAGAAGAACAGCTATAGTGGTACTATTGACCAAGATCCTGTCTGTCTCTAAGAGTGGCTGTAAATGAACAGCTAGATCATGACAGAAAAAGTATTTAAGATATAGTCTCCCATCCTCAAATTCTTAAGGCCTACAGGGCACCTAAGTGGGAGCAGAAGATCTAAGGATGATTTGATTCAAACAGAACCATACAAAGAAATAGTTGTACTGCCAGTTTTAACTTTGAATTTTTGAGTCTTTCTGGTTTTGCCTCATACATATTTAAGGCTTGTATAAATACTAAATAATAACCATATAAAGAATCTCTAGTGTTCTAAGAATTTCGTTCTTCTTGTGTGAGTACACTAGATAAGTTAATAGCGTAATCAAAAGTAATATATTCTACGCAGTAGGGTGTTTGAAATGTATAACAGTTAGTTCTTACTGTCAGAATGAAGTGCCAGGGTCCTTTGGTACCATTTAGTTAAAATAATTGGAAAATGAACTGGGCAGAAATTGGATGTATAATTGTCTCTGTGCCATTGAAAGAGAAGATATAAATAATTCTCTGCTATGCCTAGTTGGAAAAGGATGCATGTTCATCTGCAACTGAATATTCAAATATTCAAGTATTGTCTTTTTTGCAGACTTGCATTTGTAATATACTTGTAGTTCTTAAACTGAGAAACATTGCTGTACATATTTATGCCTGACTCTGACCAAAATAGAGAGGCATTCTGGCTTGTTGCTGGGTGTTGTTTTGTTTTGCTTTTCTCACCACAAAATTCTGGTGTTGCACCTATTTTCGTGCTACTTCTTCTCTCCCCTTTCCCAATTATTCACTGGTATTCCCTCCTTTATTAATCACCTCAGAAGTTAAAACTATATAAGACCCCTATAAAGGAACAGTTCATGAAGCTCTTGGACAATGAGGACAGAATTCTGCTTCTTGGAGTACTTATTTTGATGTACATTTATTAAAACATCATAAAAATGAGGAAAAAGCTATCATGTCCTTTTCTGGGACAAAATCAAGGCCTCAAAATTTAGATTCATTTTGCTGGTTGGCAAAGGGTTATTTGGTAACAGTACTACTTTCATCCAGCATTCTCAAACAGCTATGAATGGTGCTGCAGAGTACCTTTATGGTTCATATAGCTGAGATTCTCTCACTGAAGAGTATGATAGGAATGGCAAAATGGTGCATGGTGAACTGTCTGCAGATCACATTCACATACACAATGCTCCTAAACTAGTGCCTCTAACTTCTTTTGAGCTCGCAAGCTGACAGCTGTCTAAACATAAGTTTAAAGGATATGGGTGCAGCATTTAACTTCCTCCCTCCGTTTTTAATCACCACATCTTCTCATTTACTCCACTAAATTAAATCATATTAGTTTTATTTGCTTTCTTTCTCTTTTGCCAGCACAGTTTCTCCAAACTTCCTCTGTTTTACCACTATTGTCTATCTGATTAATTCTAGTAACTCCGTCTAAATTTTGCCTTTTCTCTTTTTGCTTCAGAGTTTCTTTAATTTAGTTTCATTAATACTTTTTTCCTTTCAGCTTTTATTAACTGTTGTCTTTTATTACACCATTATCCAGTGAATGTCACTTCTATCTTCATCACAAGTTATATCTCTTTATTTCTACTGTCCTGCTGTTTTTCAGTCCTCTTCCATACAACTGAGTAGATGTATCTGTTTTTTCCTGGGAGACCTGGAAATTAGAATCTATACTGAAATACTTCTTGTTGGCCACCTTAGAGGTAGCAACACTAACAGTTTCAAGGGATTACAAATCCTTACATTTCCTCCCTCTAGCTAGAAGCTAGATGCTTTTTGATGAGGTGCTACTCACAAAGCAATTACTATCTAAACTGTGGTAATTAGAAACAGGCTTTCAAGTAATATTTTGGAAAAGTTGTCCTAGAGTTTTATTTCTGAACATTAATACCTAGCAAATGCCTAAAATGGTTAACAGGAAGATAATATTTAATTATTACTACACTAATGAAAGATAGTTGTAATATATGTTGTCTTAAAAGACAAACAAAATAATTTTGTAGTATACTACCAGACATATCTTAAATATTGTACACGTCATAATTTCCATACTGATTTTTAGGTAGTCTTCCTATTTGATTTGATGCAGCATCTTGGTTTGTTTAAGACACTTCATCAATCATCCACTGTCTCCTAAATGGAGGAAACCAGAAGTACTAACTTCAGGAAATGTGGCAAGAATACAGTGAGGAAGATAACATGTCCTGACTGTATTGTCCTCTAAAAAAGGTGAAATTAGCCCATATGGTTCTTCTAGTAATTGTGTACACCAGGGATATTTACAGCAGCTGGGCCTAATTATATTGAATATTATTGCAGCTGTTACCTGCCCAACTCCTCCGCAGATCTCTAATGGAAGGTTGGAAGGAACAAACTTGGACTGGGGATTTAGCATTAGCTATGTCTGTTCTCCAGGATATGAACTCTCTTTTCCTGCTGTTTTGACTTGTGTTGGGAATGGAACATGGAGTGGTGAAGTACCTCAGTGTTTACGTAAGTATTTGCTTTATAGTCCTGTATTTTGCTATTCAACTACAGTGGGTTTTTTTAAATTTTCTTTTTTTTTTTTTTCCTCAGTCCCTTCTCACCCCTCCATCCTGCAGTGGCTCAATTAATTTTAAACCTGGGACAAGTACAATCCTTCCAAAAATTCCTAAAATTCCTACAGTTTTCCAAAATTATAATGTAAATAATAGATTGAGGAAGTTGTAGGAATATATGTGTGTACATGTAGGAGTTGTCAGACAAAAACAAACACAAAAAATGTTATTGGCAATGCATACAACATGATCTAAGGCAAACCAAGATTAAGAGGTGCTGTCTTGTTTTCAGATCCAATACATATAGAATAGAATAACTTTCATTATAACTTCTTTTGTTTCCTCATTACTCATCCTAAACTTTCTGTGATATCACAGAGAAATTTTTCTGCCTGTAATGTTGACTAGGCCCCAGGGTGATTCTGTGGGAATTGTCTATTTTTTCCCCACACTAAATTAAGTTACATATTTTATGCAGTAAATTTTGTTAATCTGAAAGTTATAACATTGATGGATTTTTGTATTGCTACAAATTTCATTACAGAAGCAAATTCCACTCATTATTTAAGAAATCTTTTAAAAGTAATTGTAATATTCAGTTGATTGCACTGAAGAAGGAGGTACTGTAGTTATTTGTAGAATAGCTATACTACCCTGTAATGGTATTGAGAAAGGAGTCTAACTGGAAGAGGATCATATCATATTCTTGGCTTTACATTTTCTGCAGTTTAATTCAAACTTGCCAAGTAGCTGAGCTTGCCAGGTAGCTTGCTACATGTTGCAAAATGCCCTTCTCTATTATTTTACTATTTTTTGCATTTTTAATCTCTCCCTTTCAAAAATGTTCTCTATTTTGGCTATATCCTACTACTGTAAAAGCATATCATATAGATCATCTTTTCTTTTTCTTTTTTTCCCAATTACATTCCTATATCATTGACAACAGTTTCTTAGTGCTGCTGAAACTCTATATGCCAGAGGTGGAACATGATGAAAGGCTTTGTTTTTTGTAAGAAAAAAACCCCAACATTTGTTGCTTAAGTTCTATATGTGGAGCTCCTTTAGAGTCCACTGTATTATGAACAACAAAGACCATGAAAAATCATTTTCATCATTTGTTCTTGATTGAAATATGGTATTCTTTATTCATTTTTTGATACCACAAGCTGTTTGTCATTTTTGAAGTTGGAATACTCAATGCTGCAATATACTCTGAAATAGTAGGCTCCACCTTTAAACGTTTTAATAGGTATATTTGCCACAGAATGCAGCTGCCTGGGACTTAAAGACTGTTTCATGCAGAGACTACATTAACTGAATGTTGTTGATGTGCAATGGTTACCATTGGCTTGCAAGAGAAAACAATTGGCAGCCAGTACTTGTCAAAGAGCTTAAGCTAGCTGCCATCTGGCAGAAATGAGAGGGAGCTGGTGAAAGTCATTCTCAATGAGCAATCTTTAAGCAGTTCTTGACATCAGAAATTTAGTTCCCAGCTTGGTTCCATAGAGCCTATAGCTCAAGAGATGCAAGGTCTAGTTATAACATGGATTAATTATCCAGAGCGGAATATAGTCATGTCCCTGGTTGAGTATTTGTCATCTATGACCCTGTAAATTTGTTTGCTTAATTACTCATGCAGTAATTTCAGTAAAGGACTGCTGGTTTTATAAGCTTAGCAATAGATGGCAAAAATGTAGGCCTATGCCAGAAAAGTCCTAACTATAGATATAACTTAGAATCATAGAACTATCATGGAATCATATAATATAATGCATTGGAAGGGACCCACAAAGATCATCAAAGTCCAAGTCCTGAATCACACCATGTACCTGAGAGCGTTGTCTGAATGTTTCTCGAATTCTGTCAGTTTTGGTACCATGACCATTTCCCTGAGGAGCCTGTTGACCCTGAGATTAGCTCAGTTGGTTAGAGCATAGTGGTAATAACGCCAAGGTCATGGGTTCAGTCCCTGTACAGGACTAAATTAATTTAAGAGTTGGACTCATTGATCCTTGTGGGTCCCTTCCAACTCAGAATATTCTGTGAAGTCTGTGAAGTTCCAGTGCCCGAAAACCCTCTGGGTGAAGAACCTTGATATATGACCTAAACCTCCCCAACACATCTTCATGCCATTCCCTCATCATCCTTGAGTCCTGTCACTGTCTCACCAGAGCGAAGAGATCAGTGCCTGCCCTTCCACTTCTCCTCGGAAGAGGCTTTAGACCATGATGTGATCTTGCCACAGTCTCTTCTCCTTTAGGCTGAACAGACCAAGTGACCTTGGCCACTCTTTGTGTGGCTTCCCTTCAGGGCCCTTCACCATCTTCCTGGCCCTCTTTTGAGCACTCTCAAATAGATTAATATCCTTCTTATATTGTGAAGCCCAAAACTGCACACAGTACTCAAGGTGAGGCCACACCAGTGCAGAGTAGAGTTGGACAATCACCTCCTTTGACCGGCTGGTGCCCCCCAGGACACAATTGGCCCTTCTGTCTCCAGGGCTCTGCTGAATTTTATTCAACTTGCTGTCAACCAGGACTCCCAGGTCCCTTTCTGCACTGCTGCTTTCCAACAGCAGTCCCCCAATCTGGATATACATCCAGGGTTGTCCTGTAGTATTCACAGTTAACATCTGGCAAGTTGAAGTCCGCATAAGGACAAGAGCAGTTGATTTAGTTCATTAAAGAATAATTTGTCAGTGTTGACATCCTGGCTGTGTGTAGACTCCCATGACAACATCTACTTTATGCGTATTCCTTAATCCAAAGGCTCTTAACATTCCATAATTTCCAGGTTTTGGCCAGGACAGGGTTAATTTTTTGCAGTAGCTGGGAGGAGGTGTGGCTAAGGCCCAGATGTTTTTCTATACCGCCTGAGGAGAAAGGGACTTGCTTTGGAGGAGAAGGGCAGGGCTTTTGGTCATGAAAACTGCTGTGGGTTGGGTTAGGCTCCAAGGTGAACATTTTGCATATAAATCACCCCTCCCTTTTGTACACTTTTGTTATTAATATTATTGCTGTTACTGTTTGTTTTCTCATTGCTGTTTCTAGTAAATTGTTCTTATCTCAACCCGTGATCTTTGCCTTTTATGCCTCCAACTCCTAATTCTATCCCCCTACAGCAGGAAGGGAAAACGGGGTTGGGGGGTTGGCAGGGAGCAAAAGAGAGTGGCAGGATGGTTTAGGAGAGTCTTTGTGAGGGCATTTAATTGGAGTGTACCATTCCTAAACCATGACACATAATCAACTGCAAGCTCCACAACCCCTCCGCCCCCCAGTCTCCCACCTCACCTGCCTTGCCTATCCCTCCTGAAGAGTGTGTAAGCCTCCATCCTGGCACACTAGTCACAGCACTCATCCCACTAGGTTTTGGTTATGCCAAGGATGTCATATTTCTTGGGACTGAGTCAAGGCTTCTAGCTCCTCTTGCTTGTTCCTCATGCTGCATATGTTGCATGTAGGAACATTACAAATATTGTTCATTGCATCCAGTGCCTCATGAAGCAGACTGAAGGATCTCACTAGCATGCGCTTCCTCAGACTTTGGTATGTCATCCCATTGCTGGTGTGTCATCCCAGGTGAGCCTGGTTTTTTTCCCTTTCACTCTTCCAGTGTAGTTTAAAGCTCTATTGGTCAGCCCTGCTAACTCCTGCACAAAAATCCTTTTCCCTTTCTGAAAAGGATGCATCCCATCAGGTTGAAAAACCCGAAGTTCCCCCAATGACACATCCTCAGAGTCTCACACCCACCAGTTGGGTCTGCCTATTCCTTTCGATATTCTTCCCTGCTACCAGAAGGATTGAAGAAAACACTGGCTGTCCTCCTGAACCTTCAAACAATTGCTCTAAGGCCCTGAAATCTCTTTTGATCACCCTTGGACTTCTCTTTGCTACCTCATCCCTGTGGATATGAAGAACAGCAGATACTAATTAGAGGGCTGTACCAAACTACAGAGTTTTCTTTCTAGAGAGTCCCTGACCCAGGCCCCAGAGATGCAGCATTCTTCCCTATGAGTTAGGTCTGGTCAGTATATTGGGCCCTTGGTTTCACCTCAGAAGGGAGTCACCTGTGAAAATTACCTTTCTTTTTTATTTGACAGAGGTGATCATAATGCAGAGGGTAGGCTATCTTGCCCTAGATGACCCTTCCAATCCCAGAAAGATCTTCATCTGCATCTTCAGTTATCAGTCCATCCAGTTCCAGGGCCTCATACCTGTTGTATAAGGGCACCTGGGAAGGTCAGGCAGGCTGGGAGGGGATTTGCATGCTCCCCCTAAGTAGGAATTAACCTACTTCCATTTCCCCTCATCTCTTAGGCCCCTCCTTCTGCCTGGTGATGAGACGGGAGGGGATCCTTTCTTTCTTTTGTCATAGTTGTCTGGTATGTCCATCTCAGGGATATGAGGGCACCAGTCCGTCTCCTTGTCTGATGCTCATCAGCCTGAAAACCTCCTCATGAAGCTCTGCTACCACACTGAGCAACTCTTCTACCTGGGCACATCTCCCAGAGGTGCTCTCGCTGCTGCCATCAGACACGACAGGAAACATTCTGTTAATCAGTTAAATTTCTTTTAAGAATGAAATTAGCCTAACAGTCTCAGTGTCAGAGCTCCATCGTCCTGCCTTGTTAAAGGCTCTCAGAGTCCTTGGGAAAATAGTTCCACTGGGAGTGGAAGCACTCATAGAACTTCCAGTTTGCTGCAACTTTATTTTGTTCTGTAGTCCTCTGTTCCAATATCAAAGGAAAATAGCTGTGTTTTACCATGATGTCTGGTTTCCATGGTAACCTATATAAAAGGCAGATATTCAGTAGTTATACAATAACTAGGTAAAGTTGACTGACAACTAAGTGGTGGATTTTACCTAGTTTTAGAAAAAATGAATAAATTTACGAAACCCCTATTTTTGAATGCGAGAATGGTTTTTTCCTTGAGAATTGCTACTTCATTGATGCAAAGAACTGTTTAGGGGACAATTTCAAGCCACTGTGTTAAAAATTTATGAATGTTTCATGTATTTTCAAATTAAATTTTCTAGTGAAAGCATACTACAGCCATGATCTGTCATTCATACAATGAGGTACACTGTGTGGCACTATCTCCAAATGATAGGTTCTGGTATGCTACAGATTTTTTTTTCACCAGTGTTTGTGAACTATATGGATTTCCTATAAAGTCAGTGCCTGTGGTAAGAGAAGGCGAGCAGGAGCATTTCATGTGAGCGGGTCATTTGGAAAGCTTAAAACATAGGTGACAGAGATATTAGAAATACATTTTGATGATTGTTGTTTGAGAGGTGTAATATAAATTTTGTTCATAGAAGAGAAAGATGATGCACAAAATTCCACTGTCTGTACAGCATGCCTTTTTAGAAATACGTCATTGCCCACATACAAGTTAGTTTTTTTAATGATTATTACAGTATTTTATGTTTGATATGAAATTAGACTCCACAATATTGGAATCCATAGTGTGTCAGGAAATAATATAGTCTGATGACCCAGGGTTTACCATAACTGATTTAATTTCCTGGATCAATTATTCAAAATCCAACTTCTGACAAAAATCAGTACTTTATACCGGAGAAGGCCAGTAAATTTGCCAGCAGTGCATTTACTGAGTTATGACATGATATAGGCATAGGGACTCTTTAGGTGATAGGTATAAAGTAAAAATATCAACTTAAAAATAGGTTTTTATTAGTGAAATTTACCCTGTCTAATAACAGTTTATTAGTATTTGATTTTTAAATTGTTGCAGAAGTTTCTTTAATATGTTAGTTTTTTAAATTTTATTATTGTTAGCTGTACTAACTCTCAAGTGTTGTACTTCCATACATACCAAACCTTACCTTTCAATGAAGTATGAGAAAGCAAGACTTCACTATTCCTAATTTAATTATATAAAAATGTTCAGCACCGGATAGGTGTCAGAAAGGAGGAGGGGAGGGGAGATTGAGAAAGTTTTGTATAATCTCTGATTGCTTTCTGTAGATTGGCAGATTGATGTGGTTTGGGGCAGAGGTGAATTGTGGATGTTTGGACATCAATAAACAAGTTGTCAACTTGTTTATAAATTTTCAGGTATTGACCAAGCCCACTATGAAGGCATTTTGAACAACTAGCAAACCTACTGCAATCAGACAGACTAAAGATTGGCTATCTAGTCTCTCTGAACTCCTATGAAGTGTTTCCATATTTGAGCTGTGTTTAATAAAATAAATATAAAATTTGGACTAATTGCTTGACTATGTTCAGCTAAATATTAATTTTATGTTTTTTAATAAATGACACATTCCATTTCTATCATATCTTTTTTCACAGCAAAGTTTTGTGGTGACCCTGGAGTACCTGCTCAAGGGAAAAGAGAAGGCAAAAGCTTCATCTATCAGTCAGAAGTCTCTTTCAGCTGCAATCCTCCTTTTGTTTTGGTTGGCTCCAGCACCAGGATTTGCCAAGCAGATGGCACATGGAGTGGGTCTTCTCCTCGATGTATAGGTATGGTTAAACTCATGTATTGCAATTTTTTGAAATGCTTATTATTCCTTTTCCAGATAAGGAACTCAATCTAGGAGTTTTCAGTTATTTTGAATTAACTTGGAGTTATTCTGTACTCTGTAAGAATCAAGTAACTTTATTTTTGTCTCTGTGTTGACTTATTGCATGTTGTTGAACAAGGTTAATGTTGTGATACATTCATGTATTTAATTAAAATGCTGTAATTTGTTTTGTCTTTATTGTATTGTAATTTTTTTTAAGAACCTACTCGCACAGCATGTGAAAATCCAGGAGTCCCAAGACATGGGTCACAAAACAACACATTTGGCTATCAGGTAGAGTATACTATTTTTTATTAACTTCCACAATAAAATACTTTTATACTACCTCAAAGTCTAGACGCTTCTGATTATAGGTTCAGAAACTTCTTGTGTAAGAGCTCTTTGCTGCAGTGTTGCTGTTTCCTCATTTCTAGCTGTTGGATTACACTGACCTTGTGTCCATATTAGCAATGTGCTACATGAAAAACTGGTGATCAAGTTCTGCTTGAAACCTTGAAGGCTTTCAGTATCTCCTTCAGTATCTCCTGCCATATATATAAGTACTCCCTAAAATTTATCAATTAGGCTTTTTCTGCTTAAAAATGTGTATACTGTGTGCGAAATTGCTAATGCAGATGTACTCTAAAAAGCAGAATTTTTATTTTCCTGAGAACAATTGTGTTGATACACTGTTTTTGGAACCACAAATGAATTACAGAGTCATGGAAGCTGTTGGACACCTCTGGAAACCTCCTAGTCCAACTCTCCTCAAAGTAGGATCTGCTAGAACAGGTTTATCAGGGCTGTGTCCAGGTGGTTTTGAATATTTCCAAGGATGGAGACTTGGCAGTGTGTCTGGGCAATCTATTCCAAGTTGATCACCCTTAGAGTGAAAATGAACACTTTTTTCTTAAAGAGAATTGCCTATGTTTGAATTTCTACTTATTTCCTTATTTCCTGTCACTGGGCACCACTGAAGAAAAATCTATCACTGTTGCCTGTCCTGCCCCCAGGTTTTTTTACAGACTGAATAATCCCAGATCTTTCAGCTACTCCTTGTGTTCCAGATACTCTAGTCCCTTAATCACCTTTGTGGCCCATCGCTTTACTCAATATAGTACTGTCCATGTCTTTCTGGCACTGGCAAGCCCAGCAATGGACCCAGCACTCATTTGTGTCTCACCAGGGCTGAGCAGAGAGGAAGAAGCACTTCCCTTGACCTGTTGTCAATGTTCTTCCTACTGCATCCCAGGAGGCTGTTGGCCACGTTTTCTACAAGGCTGTGTTGTGGCAAATGGTGTTTGCATATGTTTCTGTTGGAAAAAGAATTGTAAAATTGAAAATGATTTTGAACTTCTTATTTTCCGATTCGCACAAAGCAGTCATGTCAGTGAGACATTTTCATGAGTGAATGGTTTACAGATGCAAAAATGCACTCTATAATTTGCTAGGAATCTTGCAAACAAAGAGAGAGTCTATTCTATCCTGCTACATCCATGTTTGATGTCAGGGTGGAAAGCTCCAGACCTATGAGAAGGACTGGACAGAAGAGTACAGTAGCAGCTCCACAGATGTATGAGGTACCTGTCTAATAGCAGGAGAATAAAATCTGCAGATTGCTAGAAATGCAAGAAAGGGTCGAGTGAAATTTAAACAAATTTACAAAATGTAGTTAGTTTTTAAAAGCAAGGATTGTAGCTAAAGACTTTTCAAAGTTCCATGGCTAAAAATTTCTTTGGCTTATCCTTTTTGGTGGCCATTATGCAGTACTACTCCTGTTTAGTGATTGTTTTAGCAATATTTAGGTTTTCAGATTGTGCTAGATCACAATCATATACAAGTGAAAATAAAATTGTCTCAGTTTTCCCTAGGGGCTGGATTGCTGTTTCATGCCAAGATAGAATATGCAGGAATAGTCTAAGGTTAACTTCCTTTGGTTATAATACAATATTATGCTAGAGGGCAACTCTTTATTCAACTATATAACAAATAAATCATTGTAATGACCATTTTCTATGATTTTATCGTCACAGTTTCTCTTGCATATTAATGAACTTTCTCACCTTGACAAAGCTAATGCAGTCTTTCTCATTGTGTAGTTGTAGTTGTGAGTAAAAGCATCATTTACAGAGAACATGAAAATATCAGGCAAAATGTCAATTGACAAATCATTTCTAAAAGAGGTGTACCTCTTCTCAGAATGTACAACCTTGTAAATTCTAAAAAAAAATAAATTGTAAACAGCTGTAAGGTTAGTGCCTGGCATATTTAAGCTATATGAGCTATAGTCTCCTTACCTAGCCAGCAACTGCAATTTCTGGATATCTAAGTATGATTGCTTAGTTAATACAGAATGGGGTAAAAGTATCATTCATACAGATGAAGCTGTGAAACAACAGTGAAAATGATTGCTTCTAGACAAGTTATTGTCCGTAGATCCCAAAAAGAAATTGCATTATCATATATACTATAATGTTACGATTCATTTAAACCACAAAAATATTATAAATGAATTTATATTATGCTATAATTAACTTCCTGCATGAATGGGATAATAGTGACTTTTACTTTTCTCCATAGCAGAAAGGTAAAGAATAATTCTAAATTGTTCCAAAATACTAAAGATGAGATGGCTTTGATTTTCATTTGTCTGATAGATCCAATTATCTACCATTTAAAACAGCAGACCGAAAGAACTTACATTAAATTAAGCAAAATGTTGCATTTGCAATTGGCAAATGCATAATAAGGAGTTGTTATTGCTGAATATATGATAGTTTTCTGACCAGCACAGGGCGAGGAGGTTTTTGTTTTGTTTGTTTGGGGTTTTTTGTTTTTGTTTTTGGTGGGGGTTTGTTTGTTTTGGGGTTTTTTTGTTCTTTGGTTTTTTTTGGTTGTTTTTTGTTTTGTTTGGTTTGGTTTGGTTTGGTTTTGGGTTTTTTTGGGTTTTTTTGTTGTTTGTTTTGGTTTGGTTTGTTTGTTTGTTTTGACTCTCTTAAATACTTCATATTTCAACTAATATTAATAGGGTCACTTAATTGACTTAATTGTCAAGGTTTAAATTTATGTCTCTGTCCCATTTAAAAAATAAAAATAAATCAAGCTTTGAAAGTTCAGGCAAACACAACACAATTCTTGGCTTGACTTAAAGGTGTATCTAAACCTGACCTCCTGGAACCTACACTAACAAAAGCACAAATATCACCATGTCACATTTGAATGGTGTTTCAACTATTAAATGAGGATTTTGTAGAAAAAGAGGCAGCAGAATTTTGTATGGATTTTATTGTTCAGTATCGAATGCTTTGGGCAGAAGCAGATCACGTTCCTGTGTGTTCAAATGACATCAAAATACCAATTTAGTGCTCCTTGGATATGGGGCATGGCATGTAAATTAGTAGCATCACCTGCTTTAATTTTTATGAATACATACTTCTAGGATGTTAACTTCCATCTAGCATTTTTTATTTGACAGATCTACCTTAACAGTGTGTCACAATGGAGACAAAATACCTTTAGAACTCAGTGAATACTGACTTCAACTGTAATCTGGAAAATAAATTGCTCCTTGGAAAGAAACTGTTGGTTTTGAAATATTTCTTTGGCTATATTGCTAGTAACATAGAAAATTGCTTATAGCACTTTCACCATGAGCTGTTGTAACACAAGATACTACTGAACTGAAGAAGCAGTTTAGGACTGCTCAGAGCAGTCAGTCAAATATGTAAGATTTATTTCTTCTCCTATTTTTCCAATATATGTTTTTGTAGAAATTCAGCTATTTTCCCCTACATTAAGGCCTAAATTGAGCAAAAGGGCTATCTGAATTTAGAAAGGAAAATAGACACATTACAGTAGTTGTAGCCCTGTACTAGCTCTTGATTTCTATTTTATGAAATGCCATATAAAACTTGATCTGCACATGTTGAGCAACCTTGCAAATAATCTGCTTCTGTTAATGTAATGCTTATAAAATCTTCAGTGTTGATTGAATTGTAGGATAAAATTCCAAGAGAAATGCTCTACTACCACAGTATAACTGTCTCCATTAGCAGAGTTGGCACCATCACTGCATCAATGAAAATGTAATTTAAGCCTTATCAGACACCATGTAATTTTCCTGATTTCTTCTACTGCTCATGGTCCTGAGGTCTCTGGTGTCAGTGAGGTAGGTTAGTGTCACAGTCTGGAGTGCTTCACTGGCAAGAATGTGATTTTTCCTTTTTTTGCACACCACTGACACTGTAACCCCACACTATATTTCAATCTACACAATAAGATACATTTCATCTGTGTTAGATACTTCTTTTTTACTCCTGAAACCTGATTCTGTCCAGTGATCATGGGTGTGTTGTTCACAGCAATGAGTCCTCCAGGACCAAACCTGTGTTGCATCTCTTATCGTAGTCACACCTGTAGTCTTCTTCACAGCATCCTTTTGTCTCCATTTCTCAAGGGCTTTGCTATCATTCCAGCACCAGGCCTGTATTTCTCTGTACCACATCACATTAGTGGGAAATACCTCATTCTGTACATGGTAGATTCTTTTTTTACTGCTGTGAATAGCAGTAAAACTGTGGTTGTACCATACAAAGATCAAGAAAAACATAAAAACTAGTCATAGCCACCTGATCACAGTAAAATTGGGTTTTACAGCTAAATCGAGTTAAAAAAAAAAACAAGCCAAAACCAAATACAAAATTTCAAGCAGTTCAAGACACTTTCAGACAAAGGAAGCCTCTGCTTAGAAGTCTTGGTAACTCAAAACCCTATAACTAATAATGGCAATTATCTATTACTGGGCTACCAAACTATAGACATAGCAAAGACTTAATGAGGTGTGTTTTCATTCACTTAAAATGTGATGCTAAAAGTGAATGTCAGTAAAACTGACATTCCTTTAGCTTCTCAATCTTTTAACATGAATTGCTGGAGTTGAAGAAGTTTGTTAGAGTATCTTCAGAATCTCTGGTAAACTGAAATCTAAGGAAAACCTTGATTGTAGAGTAACTCAGAAGTATCTTCTATTCCTACAAGGCATATAAGAAATAATAAAGATAATAGCTTATTATTATTTTGGTAATTCTTATACATTATTATGATATTATTTGGTGAAAAAAATATCTGGGATACTTTATAACCAAATGCATGTTGATGTTTATGCATTTTCTTCTCAGATTGCTATTTCTCCTGTTCAAGAATAACAAATATATGGTCTTTGGGTTTTAGCAGAAAAAAAAGTTAGCAATGTTGATTGGGGAATATCCAAGCCATAACTGACACTACAGAAAAAACTGTGGAACAGATAGGATCAAGCGTTATACAAGGAAAATTTTTTTTTTTCGGGGACTGGATGCAAACATCGTTGCATGTAGAACAGTTCTTCCCTAACACCAGAGTACTAATGCTTCTATTCAAACTGTAGAACAAAAAATTAAAACAAATCAGAAAATCTCAAGACTGGGAATCTTTTAAGAGCATAGAATCCTGTATTGTAGTGCCACCTGGTGTCTCCGATGCAAAAATATTGCAAAACAGACTTCATGAAGTATTTTAAAATTACTTTTATTTGTTTAATAATGATTATACATAAACTACATAATTAATATAATATATTAATTATTGCAAATTTTCACTTGCAATTTTTTTCTCATTTATTCATTGTCTTGAATGACAGCAACTTTAAAACATCCCTTGGGCAACTGTTGCTTTTTTGGTGCTACTTTGAGGCTTACACATATAACGGTTGTGTTTCTTGTGAAATCATAGATTAATAAAATCATAGAATCATAGAATGATGGAATAGTTTGGGTTTGAAGGGACCTTAAAGATATTTACTTTCAGCCCACCTGCTCTGGACAGGGACACCTTTCACTAGACCAGGCTGCTCAGAGCCCCTTCCATCCTCGACTTGAACATTTCCAGGGATGGGGCAACAGCAACTTCTCTGGAAAACCTTTCCAGTGCCTCACTACCCTCACAACCAAGAATTTCCTCCTAATATCTAATATAAACCTACTCTCTTTCGATTTGAAGCCACTCCCCCTTGTCCTGTGACTTCATACTGTTGTAAAAACTCTCACCTTCTAGGCTCCCTTCAGGTACTGGAAGGCTGCAATTAGGTCATGCTGAAGCCTTCTTTTTTCCAGGCTGAATAAATGCAATTCTCTCCACCTTTCCTTGTATGAGAGATGCTCCTACACATAATCATGTTGGTGGCTCTCCTCTGAACTCATTCCAACAGGTCCATGTCTTTCTCTGCTAAGGGCTCCAGAACTGAATGCAGCACTCCAGGTGGGGTCTCACCAAAGCAGAGTAGAGGGACAGAATCACCTCCCTCGACCTGCTGCCCATGCTGCTTTTGATGTAGCCCAGGATGCAATTGGCTTCTGGGCTGTAAGTGCTCATTGCCAGCTCGTGTCCAGCCTCTCATCCGTCAGCACTCCCAAGTCCTTCTTGGAAGGGCTGCTCTTGATCTATTCATCCCTCAGCTTGTATCGGTACTGGGAGGTGCCCTGACCCAGATGCAGCATCTTTCATTTTGTCTAATAAAACCTCAAGAAATTCCTCTGGGCCCACTTCTCAGGCTTGTCCAGGTCCCTCTGGATGACATCCCATTCTTCAGGAGTGTCAATCACACCACTCAGCTTAGTGTCATCTGTAAATTTGCTGAGAGTGCACTCAATCCCTTCATCTATGTTATTAATGGAGATATTAAATAATATTGGTCCCAGTACGGACCCTTGAGGGACACCACTTGTCACTGATGTTCATTGTGACTCTGAGTCATTGACCACTACTCTCTGGAGGCAACGGTGCAATCACTTTCTTATCCATCTGAAAGTCCACTCATCGAATCCGTCTCTCTCCAATTTAGAGAGAAGGATGTTGTGGGGGACTGTGAAAAGGCCTTACAGAAGTCCAGATAAATGACATCTTTAACCCTTCTCTTTTCCACTGATGTAGTCACGTGAACACATCTTTCATAAGGCTAGTACTTTTTGTAAATAATATATTGTTGGTGGTTGTTTTAACTAAGTTCTTTACCAGAAAACAAAACAAAAAAAAGTACTCCTATACCTATTCGGTGCAACTTCTAAAACCTGTAGCATTTTACTACTTTGTGCTTAATCATGCAAGTGATTTAGCATATTTTCTTCAAAATCTTTTAAAAGTAATTACATAGTCCAGTGAGCAGAGAAAAGAGCAAAAAAAAGGAAATGAATTTTAAATCACATCCTCTGTTGATGAGCTACTATCTGTAGTTCATGGGTTATTATTAAATTTCATTCTGATGAGCAGCTTGAGTTGAAATGGAATAGCACTATAAAGTTTCAAATGAATACTTGTATCAGTGAAATGCCATTTTCCAGGACTAAACTATCATGAAAGAATCCACATTTTACCTTTGAGCATCAGTCTGAATAAAGTATTATGCATTTAAACAAAATAATGAAAAAAACCAAACCCAAACCAGAACCATAAATGGGCTGTCACAGACAGTTTAAGGTTTCAATTTCTTGTTTAAACATGAGTTGATAAATATATTAACACAGGTCACTGCAGAACAGTAGATACGTTCAGTGCACCATAATATTTGAGTTAACCACTCACAGTATGTAATAAACTGCTCTCTGAATGATATCCTTGTAATCTAATTTCCTTGCTTTTGATAAAAACTAAGTAGTATTTGCATTTTCATCAATTTTACCATGACTGGACATCCTGAACAGGTTATTCCATTTTATTTGGAATATTTATTATTTGTTCCGAAACTAAGAATTCTATTTTCCTTTTTATGTAACACATACCCATAATAAGAATAATAATTAAAAATTATTTCAGGTGAATTGCTATTATAATTGTAGTGTACTTGTGTTCCAGTTTCTATTATCTATGTGGTATAAAGAGCAGTTATTTATTATCTCCTGTCACCAAAAAACAAAATTAAAATATTATAGGAACATTATAATTTCTGAAGCAGGAGACAGTGTTGTTGACCAACCCTATCTGTTCTAATCAAATATTTCTCATTATAAGTTGTGAATGTATCAAACATTCCACAACGGGGGGGTCTAGTTCAGCAAAAGTCCTGTAGAATCTACTTCCCATTTCAGCTCTGGGAGTTCCACAGTTTGCTGCAATTTTGCCTAACTGGCTCCTCCTAGGTCCAGAGTTAGAAAGCTACCATAAACTTTGTTTCCAAAGTCACAAGACCTCAAGTGTTCCAGGCCCAAAGCAACACACCAGAGAGACCACAGAAGACAAGGGTTTGATTTTCTTCCAGAGGGGATTATCAGTTTGAGGAGAGAGTAATTTTACCGAGAATGACACATTTTTTTATTTCCTATCAAAATGCTCTTTGAAATTAGTTTACTTTCTACAGAAGGAGAATCACAACTTATCAAGTATGTGTTATGTGAAGGAGTGATGAAATTTGGAAAAAAAATCTCAACTGATAGTTCCTCATAACAATAGTACTGTGTTTTCTACTTTTCAACAGGTGGGAAATGTTGTTCAATTTCAGTGTAAAAAAGGACACCTTCTCCATGGTTCAACAACACGAACATGCCTTCCTGATCTTACATGGAGTGGAATCCAGCCAGAATGCATACGTAAGTAAATGGTAGAATTTTTTCCTATTTTTTTTTTTTTTTTAATCTAGATTTTTTAATTGCAGTAACATTGTTATGAAGTTAATTTATTCTATATGGTTTATTAATTGAAAGTTAATAGAAATTTGCATTGCTAGCTTACAACAGCTAGAAATATGATTTTGTGAGTGAATTTTTATACAATACACTATAGAAATGAAAAAAAAAAAGGGAGAAAATAAGCAGGTTTTCATCCCCAGTCAGTTTCTATCTAAGAGGGTGCAACCCTTCCAATGCACAGAGGAGGTAATGAGAACAGGACATATTGGAGAGCCCTATTCTAAATATATAGGAAAGCATATAATTAAAATCAATTCTACCAAAGAGTTTGAACTGTTTCTCAACTGAGGAGTCATGGCATTTCAAAAGGGGGAAAATGAGTTGGCAATTTTTGAATCTGAAATAGAGAGAAATCTTACTTGAGTATGGAAAGTAGCCCTTCATTTCATAGATCTTTTACACTTTGGTAAATAGTGATAGTTTACTGAATATATAACATCATGGTTAATTTTTTCAGTTCAGCTAGTCAGCTGTATTTTTTTGGAAATCATCTTACCTTATATGGTTTGACCTTATAGAATCACTTCAGTGAATGGAGAACATATCCACAGAAGAAAACAGCATTAGTATTATTTCAGTTGATGCTCATGTTAATCTTAAGCAAACAGCAAATCAGTAGCTCAGTGTGTTGAAAGGTGAACTCTGCTCTTAGAGATATTCTGTCCTTGAGATGACACATAACTGGGGGATTCTGATGGTTGTTAAATATATAAGGCTCTTCACATGAGATTAGAAATGCTAATTATTTTTTCTGCCTGATATTATAACTCACCTTCAATTTCTCCTTGACCTTTCATAGTGGTTTTCAACTGACCCATTTATTTACTGTTATTCAATGCTACACAGATATTGTGAGTGATATAAATCACACAACATGATTGCTTTTAAGTCTGGTATGATGTTTGCTGTTTCTGTTCTCATATGCAAACAATTAATTTTGTTCATGCAAGTGCATTTCAGTCAGTTCTTGGTCCCTTGGAATTGAGAGGTCCATGTTTAAGAGTGTAATTACAGGCTTATAGTGATATAGTAACTTATTCATCATCATCATCATCATGGCTGGGCTTCGCAAACGAAGATTTGGGAAGGGCTCTACCCACATTTGTTGCAGGCGCATTGGTGGCTAAAAAGGCCAATACGAGATAGACACATCCAGTTGCAAAAGGCACAGCAGAAAGACTCCTTAGATGGTATATTCTGCAAGGCACAATTCTTTCTGCGTTAATAGTAATTTATAATGTGAATTAAAATATGTTAATGTAATTTTTTATTGATTTCTTTTTACTTTGTTAATTAACTGTCAGAATAGACATAGATTATTTTTTCAGAAATATTTTTCCCATTTTGACTGAAGGATATTTTGTCTTTTCTTTGTAGCTCACAGCTGTAAACAACCAGAAACGCCAAGTCATGCTAATGTTGCAGGAATGGATCTTCCCTCACTTGGTTATACGTTGATTTACACTTGTCAGCCAGGCTTTTTCCTGGCAGGAGGTTCTGAGCACAGAGCCTGTAGGTCTGATGGCACATGGACTGGGAAAGTTCCAGTTTGTGAAGGTAAGCTCTTCTGTTTCCCACTGCACCTGTCATCTATCATATTTCGGTGATTTTCTTTACTTGCAGTTGGCATATGCAGGCCAAGAAGTTGATCGGGCCCAGTCAGCATGTTTTTATGAAACGTAGGTCCTGCTTGACTAACCAAATCTCCTTCTATGACAAAGTGACCTGCTTAGTGGTCACTCAGTACTTGATACTAGTGAGACCCCACCTTGAATAGTGTGTGTGCTTTTGGGCCCCTCACTGCAAGAGATGAAGGTGGTGAAGGGTCTGGAGCACAAGTCTTATGGGGAAAGGCTGAGGGAGCTGGGGGTGTTTATCCTGGGGAAAAGGAGGTTCAGAGGAGACCTTATTGCTCTCTACAACTACCTGGAAAGAGATTGTAGCAAGGTTGGTCTCTTTTCCAAAGTAAGAAGCAATGAGAGAAAATGGCCTAAACTTGTGTCAGGAGAGGTTTAGGCTACCCAGGGAAGAGATGGAGTCATCATTCCCAGAGGTATTCAAAAGATGTGTAGATGTGGCATTTAGGGACATGATATAGTAGAGGGCTTGATATCATCATGGCTAGGCTTCACGAACGAAGGTATGGGAAGGGCTGTACCCACATTTGCTACAAGCGCGCTGGTGGCTAAAAAGGCCAATATGAGATTGACAAATCCGGTTGCAAAAGGCACAGCAGAAAGACTCCTTAGGTGGTATTGGCAAGACACGATTCTTTCTGCATTGTCTTTTCTCCTTGAGAGTGATCCTGTGGGCGTTCTCAAAAGAAGCAGCAGTGTTATAGATGGTGTGTCTCCAGGTCTCCCGAGTGGAGGCCAGAGCAGACCAGTTGTGTTGATCAATATGGCCAAGGCTGAGATGCTGTTTCAGGGAGTCCTTGTGTCTTCTCTTTGGGGCTCCTCTCTTGCGGCAACCAGTGGCAAGTTCACCATAAAACACGATCTTAGGGAGGTGGTAGTTCTTCATCGTGGAGACGTGTCCTGCCCAATGCAGCTGTGTTCTCAGCAAAGAGGGCTTGGTAGTGTTAGGTTAACTCTAGGACTTGATGATCTTAGAGGTCTTTTCCAATTTAAATGAGTCTGTGTTTCTATACTAATATTTGAGAAGGATGCCTGAAGTCCAAGAAGATGTCTGAATCACTGTGTGAAACTAAACCATAGGGTTTAGTAGCATTTTATATTTTTATGTAAGGAACTATATGCTACTTGAAAACAAAATGTAACTACTTTGTCCTTGATGTTCCAACCTTTTGGGTTTTTTCTAATTTTTTATTACCTACTTTGTCATAGCAGGACATGAAAAACATCATAGACAATTCATGGTGAGAAAGGTGGTTTTCATATGCAATAAGAAACATCCTCGAGTATAGGAACTGTTTGGGAATTGATTTTCTGAATAATTAAAGGCCTTTTCAGATTACGGTTACCTAATGTTTCAAATGCAGTTATCCCCAGGGCTCTTACAGAGACATTCAAAGCCTCTATACACAAACACTACTACTTGGAAGGAAAATAGGAAATGAATATTTTGTATTACTAAAAAACAGGTGTCCTGGCATTGCATGCCAGGCAAGTGCTGAGGGAAAATAGAGCAGAGCATTGGGAAAGTATTAGAAAACTAGCAGCCAGGAAGCTTATTACTTGTTGAGTACTTGGAAAGTGTTATGGCAGGCTAAATGTGACTCATGGGTTGTATTTTGATCCAAGAATTTTTTGCTGATGATATTGAAAGAAGTAGCATTAGTTGTACTACCTGATAATAAGGAAACTTTTAAAAATATTAAGTAGTTGCTATGAGTGCATCTACATTATCATATAACTTAGTTTCCCAATGTCCTGAAAAAATGTTACAGAAATTAAAAATTTTTGGGATCAGAAGTCTTTATTCTTGCTCCTTAGCAGTGGATGAAGCTAAGAATGAGCAACATATTGCTAAGTGTTAACTCTAATTGGGTAAAGTAAAACATTTCTTAAATAATCTCAGTTTTGCCTATACAGAGAGGTGAAATCTCTCTGCTATGGAACAGAGAAGAGCACTGGCTCAGATTGTTCATCTCTTATTGTGAACTTCACAAAAGTAACTTGGAAATGGATGAAAAGGAATAAAGTATTTGGAGCTGAGAGCTCTAAAAGGATATTTAGGGGAATTAAACTGGAATTTGATACTTTAAATGCAAAATTGAAGTCCTACTCAGAAAATATCTTGACCTAGAAACTTAAACTTCATAGATAACTGGTTTTAGTTTTGGATTTTTATGTAACATTTGTATTTAAATTTTATTTTGTATTTAAAAATTTAAGTTCTGAACTTGACTAGAAATTTATTCAACTTGACAAGGCTGATTGACTCACCTTTTTATGCTAAAGCCCAATTGGAAAGTATGATCCAGATATTTCTAACCTAAACTTAATGTAGTCAGAAAGCAAATGCTATTGAACCGTACCCTCAAGGTCAACCACGTACAGTGAAATTCAGTAAGTTTCTTTCAAAACAGAGAAGAAAGAGAGATTAATCAATCAGTAGTAACAGTCCATGAGTGCTTTAGGTTGAATTTCAACCCCTGCCTTTGCTTATTTATGGTTTTAACATACATGATAAGAAAAGACCTTTTGAAAAAACTAAAATTTATTATCAAGAAAAATATTCTCAGTCCTTCTTGCTAAAGTTTCCTTTTTATGCAGAAAAATACTCCGCTCAGGGGAAAAGTAGTTTCCTTTCTTGTGTAGCTTTTTAGAGCATGGATCAGAGAGAAAAGGAATGGTTTCAGACCCTAGACCTAAAATACAAAATATTGAAATCACTGTTAGAGCAAGGAATTGAGCCTAGTGCTGCATGAGAGTATTTTACATTAGGAGACAGAACTATGTGTCTTCTTTATGTTCCAGTGAATCCAAATTAGTTTCAGCAAAATAAAATAGCTTCATCTACAGGAAATTAGACTGTCCTATGGCATTTATTTCATCATCTTCAGTGGTGGGAGAGTTCCTGCTCTAAGCAGAGAAGATATTAAATTCTCCAGCTTGCAGTTCTCCTATCACCTGAGCAGTTGGAGATACTGTGGACAACTTCTTTTGTTTCTTTTTTTCTGTTGTTATTCTTTAAGAAACCTTCTCTTTCAATATTAAGAGATTAAATTAAAACCCATCCATGGGTTTTCAGTCTCGAACACAAGATGTCTCACTCAGTACTATTAGAAGATAATTAAGTCCTGGAGAGAAACATGATTTGAAGCACCCTTGTTATGTGTGTCTTCACTGTTTGGTGTTACCTTGCTTCCAGTCAAAGCACTGTTCACAGTTCCTGATCTAAGTGACATAAGCGGCATTAGATGATATATTAGAAGGGATCTCACATATTGCGTGCATAGTCCAGGACTGTAAATTCTGAAACGTGGATTCTGAACTGAAACCCTGCACTATTTGACTACTGCAAATTACTTGATAGCATCCAGGTGACTGACTTAGGACAAAATGTGGGAACAGAAGAAGTCTGTGGTAAAGTGTTCCTCTGATACTAAGGCTTGATACTGACTGAAATCTCATTCATATTTGAGTTTGAAACATCATCTTATATGTTTTTTAGCAAATAAATTCCATTATGGAAATTAGTCTTCATTTCTGAGTAATGTTTTGTTACTCATTTATCTTTGTCATTCATTCTTTCTAACAGCTGGTTCCAAAATATTAGTGAAGGATCCCAGACCAGCTTTGGGAACACCAAGTCCCAAACTAAGTGGTAAGTGCTTCAAGGTGTATATATAATTTTAAACAATTTTTATAGAAAAGACAATGAGGAGCAGTTTAGTGAGATTGGACTGAGTGGCTTAGGATGAATAAAGGGTATTATATTAGGCACTAGATTAAAAAAAAATTAGTTAAATCGTTCCCCAGTGTTTGAGTTCATCTAGCTTATATGGTATAATTTGTATCTGTATACAATTTCTGTTGTGTTTCACTGTAGTTGCTGTTCTGTGTAAGATCCTATGCAATTTACCCATTCAGAAATTATCCTACTGATGCAGAAATAATTTAAAAAATGTTTCACAGTTTTTTTCACAGTCTTGCACTTCTTTTACATGTTGCTAATTTAAATTGCTTTACCTAAATATTTAGTGTTAGCTTTCAACTTGCCCTTCAAAAAAGTTCATTTTAGTTGACACAAGGTAATCTCTCAAATTATGCCTAAAGTCTCCAGTTTTAACAGATTTGCTGAAGAAGACTGTCTTTGGATGTCCTGACTAGAGAAACCTTTCTATGTCCACTGAAGAGATTTTTTGAAAAGAACAGTCTCCTTAACTAAAATTAGCCTTGATTATAAACCTATTGAATTTCTCCCAATAATGAATAAAATTTAAAAGTAGTTCCTTAGAATATGGGGACTTGGGGGGCTTTTTTTTTTGTTTTAATTTTTTGCACTACTTCAAAACCGTGTTTTTCAATGACGTAGAGCTGCATGGTAGTCATCAGTTTTGCCATTCAGAAAATATTCATTCATTTTGTGCAATCCCAATTAATTGCAAGATCAGTTTTCCTAAAAGTAGGGAAATAAATCTCAGGCAGGTCACAAATCAACAGCATCAGACCATTCGCATCATGCAATTTCTTTCCTTACAGTTTGCAGGTCCAGTATCTATATGTTTTGTCAAAAAAACATATCCATATATATATATACGCATACACAGATAAAAAACCTAGGAAAGCTCTTTTACCCTCCATGGGGAAGACAACTTGTCTTTGTGATGAAGGAAAATTGTGCCCCAGTCTTGAATTTAGAACCATTCTGAGAGAGAAAGGAGCAAATATTCTTCTGTGCATATCTGACATGAGATGCCAGTGCACACACAAACCTTTAAGCTCAGTGTGAGTTATTCCAAATAATGCGAAAGTGCTGATTTTAAATAGTGGTTGTTATAGGGCTAAATTTGCTACATTACCTTAGAAAGTGTAATAAACCCATCCTAAATCACCTTCTAGTTCATTGGTTAAATGGAATCTCATTTTAAAGATTTACATGTATCTGTTTTTGCTGGATGGGTGGCTTTTTGTTGTTTCGGTGGGGTTTTCAGTTGCTGGAATAGCATTACTTAAATTAATAATTTTACAGATTGATAATGATAAATGTGAAATGTAAAGGTATAAATTTAGCATATTTATTCTCTGCCCTGCAGAGAATAAATGGTTTTAATTTTAAATTAGAGAATTTATTTTTTTCTCCTGGTGAAGTTCATAATGTTTTTAAGCATTTGAAGACAAGGCAACATTTCTTATATAAATTTTTCATTAGAAAAAGTGACTGGGTAATAAAGAAAATGCTTATAACATTCTAGTGTCATATAAATATGCTTATGAAAATGATGATATCTAAACTGATATTAATTTCTACAAAATTCAATGCTAGCTGTATGTTCCTAGCTGTCTTTGCTGGCATAGAAAAGATTCTACATGGAGAGGAATATGAACTTCTGGTTAAAGCTGTTTGATTTTATGGAGTTGGTTTAATTTTAAAACAGGTCTATATTTGAGGAAAAAAATGAAGGTATAGTTGTGCTTGTGCTCTTCAGTACAAACACATTCTTTCATTAAAGTTCATGTCAGGTTTCTATGCTTTATATGCAAAAATTATGCCTCCTAGCCTTAAAAACAGAAAGAGCAAAGGAAAGAAAATGCTAATATTTGCCACATATTTTGTTGGATATTTGACTTTGAAAGTACTAAATATTGCAATTTGTATTGAAACATGTTTATGTCTTTATAGTTCCTGATGATGTATTTGCCCAAAATTATATATGGAAAGGATCTTACAATTACAAAAGCAAGAAACAGCCCATGACTTTGACAGTCACCAGTTTCAATGCAACTTCAGGAAGAGTAAATGCAACACTTACAAACAGCAATATGGAATTGCTGCTATCAGGTATGGCCTAAGAAATAGGAATTTCCTTTTTTTTTTTCTGCTTTATATACATTGGTTCACTGTAACTTTATGCATAACACTTAAACTTTTAACATCTTCTGGAAACTTTCTTAGCTTATCAAAGAAATTTTTATTCTATTTCAGTACCTTTTCAAAGGCAGAGATTTTCCCACCTTTTCTTTCTCTCTCCCTTTTTTTCTGTTTTAGTTTCCCAAGTTTTTATTATATTTGGAGTTAATAGTCAATAAGGAGTAAAAGAATAATCCTAATTCTCATGCTAATTCTTTAAATATTATAAATAAACTGAAATTGCTGTTCCTGAGATTTTATTATTATTAATTATAAAATTTCTCTACTGTAACCTATTAATGAGTAATTGTCAATATGATGAGATTGATATTTGTTGACCTAGAAAGTCAGAGATACCTACTGAACATGGAAAGAAAGTAGAGATGACACTTTTTAGATTATCTTTTATTTTCTCCCATCCTACCACTTGCTACTTCAGAAAAGCAACCAAAATGCACCTTGCTCCAACCTCCTTTCAGGTAGGTGAAGACAGGATATTGTCTCCCTTCAGTCTCCATTTTTTTCTAAACTAAACAACCATTCCTTCATTCTCCTCATAAGACTTGTGCTCTAGACCCTTCTCCAACTCCTTTCTCTGGACATGCTGCAGCACTTCAATGTTTGTCTTGTAGGAGCCCAAAACCGAACACAGGATTCGAGGTGCGGCCACACCAGTGCTGAGTGCAGGAGGTCAATCACTTCCCTGGTTCTGCCGGCCCCACTATTTTTTATATAAACCAGGATGCCAGGCCTTCTTGGCCGCCTGGGCACACTACTGACTCATGTTCAGCCACTGTTGACCAGCACCCCCAGGTCCTTATAAGCCTGTAGTGTTGCCTGGGATTGCTGGGACCCAAGTGCAGGCCCATTGATACAAGCTGTCCAGATCCCTCTTCAGAGCCTTCCTACCCTCCAGTAGATCAACACCTCTGCCCAAATTAGTGTCATATGGAAACTGACTGAGGGTGCTCTCGATCCCCTCGTCCAGATCATTTATAATGATATTAAACAGGACTTGCCCCAGTATTGAGTCCTGGGGAACACCAGTTGTGACCAACCACCAACTGGATGTAACTTCAATCAACACAACTCTCTGGGCTCATCCGTCCAGCAAGTCTTTTACTCTGCGTCCACCTGTCCAACCCATGAACAGTCAGTTTCTCCAGAGTAATGCTGTGGGAAATGGTGTCAAAAGCTTTACTAAAGTCCAGTTAGACAGCATCCACGGCCTTTCCTTCATCCACTGAGGCACCTTATCACAGAAGACCAGGTTAGTCAGGCAGGATCTGCCTTTCGTAAACCTATATGGCTAGGTTTATATGATACGCTGGTTGTCCTGCACATGCCATGTGATGGCATTCAAGATGACCTGCTCAGTAACTTTCTGTGGCACTAAGGTCAGGCTGACAGGACTGTACTTCCCTGGATCCCCCTTCTGGCTCTACTTTTAAACAGACATCACATTTGCTACCTCGAGTCAACTGGGACATCCCAGGTTAGCCAGAACTGTTGGTAAATGGTTGAAAGTGGTTTAGGGAGCACTTGGGTGAATCCCATCTGGCCCCAAAGACTTGTGTGTGTCTAAGTGGTGGAGCAGATTGCTGACCGTTTCCCCTTGAAGTCTCCTTGGGGATATCAGTCTGCTCCACATGTCTGACTTCCAGCTCAGCAGGCTGGCTACCCAGAGACATAGATCCCTTCACGCTGTGGCTGCAGAAGAAGTCCTTGAATGCAATATTGCTTTGTGATATTCCACAGTCTCTGCCAACCACAGCACTGTTGTCATGGTTATGTTGGCACAGCAGGCACAGTTCTCTGTGCTGAAAACCATCAGTAGAAACTACAGATATGGCTGAAAAGATACTAGAAATGTTTGGATTTAAAGTTTGTGAGGTTTTGTTGTTGTTGCTGTGGGGATTTTTTTGTTGTTTTTTTTTTTTAACGAATCTGTCAGTCCCTTGATTGAAACATCTCAAGCACACAGAAAGTGGGTCTGTCACACCACAGGAGTGGCAGGCTATTACACAAGGGGGTGAACTGGCATAAAAGAAACACCTGAAATCAATATTATCACTCAAAACTTAGTTTCTTGAAATTTCATCCTCTGTCTACCACATTGTTTGCAAGGTTGGAAAAAGCCTAAAAATTTCATTTAAGTATAGGCTGGACACTGCTGTTTTTAATCTTCCTCATCGCTCTAGGACTCCTTTATCTGAAGTAGTTTCTTGCCACTCTTTGGTGTTAGCAAGGACAGAAGTGACAAAACATCACCCTGTTGGAAAAAAAAATGGGAGGAAAGTTCAACCCATATGTTTCTGAGAGGGGTGATCTACAGGAAGGATGTATGGGCCAAAGAATCTGTGTTTCTGTTGAGGTCTGATTTTCTAATATCAAGTAGAATGGTGAATTTTTATCCCTGGATTTGTCTGTTGAAGGTATTTTGTAGGTGTCCCTATAAGAGTCATACTTGAGAGGCTGTAGATCGACTGAATGTTTTCTGATTGATAATAATGTTTACCTTTACTTTGTGTGATTTTTTCCTGTTGTATGACGTCTCTTTAGTTTCAGCCATGTAATTTCTGTGAGGGAATTAAGAGCAGCAGATATAGTATTTTTATTTTTGGAATTAGAAAAGTAAAATACTGTGTTCTCACCCAAAAACCTCCTTCTCCAAATAAAAGGTTCCTTCAACTGCACACAAAGGTGATTACAAATACCCTTTTTCACTCTACATACACACATTACACTCACTCACCATTTTCTACTGACTATGGATACAAAACTCTATTAGTCTGAAAATTCTGCTGTCTGCGGTGTCATCTCTTTGCAGCACTGGAGTCCAATATTAAGCTATTTGGTTGTGGCAACATTTCTTCCTTCTCTACCTGTAGATGCAAAGAACATGAAGTATCTGGACATTTTCTTCCTTCCACTACAGTATTAGCTAGTGGTGTTGTGCAGCCTTAGTTATATTTTTTTTTCACTGGACAATGTGGTGGATTGACCTTGGATGGGTGCCAGGTGCTCAATAAACTGCTCTATCACTCCCCCTCCTCAGCTGAACAGGGGAGAGAAAGTATAACAAAAGGATAGTGGGTTGAGATAAGGACAGCGAGAGATCAATTGTGATTGCCATCATGGACAAAACAGACTCAATTCATGGCAATTAGTTTAATTTATTGCCAATCAAACAAAGGTAGGATGATAAGAAATAAAAACAAATCTTTAAACACCTTCCCCACACCCCTTCCTTCTTCCTAGGCTCAATTTTACTCCTGAGTTCTCTGTCTTCTCCCCTCCCAGCAGCACAGGAAAATGGGGAATGTGAGTTGTGGTCAGTTCATCACATGTTGACTCTGCTACTCCTTCCTCCTCACTCTTTTTCCCTGCTCCAGTGTGGGATCCCACCCCCAGGATACATACAATCCTCCACAAACTTCTGCAACATGGAGCATTTCCACAGGCTGGAGTTCTTCACAAACTGCTCCAGTGTGGACCCTTGTCAACATATGCTTTCCATGAGGTGCGGTTCTTCAGGAAAAGGCTGCTCCATTGGGTTCCCCACAGGGTCACAAGTTTTGCCAGTGATCCTATTTCAGCAAGGGCTCTTTCCTACATGGGTCCACAGGTCCTATCAGGAACTTGCTCCAGCACAGGCTTCCCATGAGGTCACAGCCTTCTTCAAGGCATATCCATCTGCTCCGGCGTGGGATCCTCCACAGACTGCAGGTGGACCTCTACTCTATTCTGGATCTCCATGGGCTGCTCGAGCAGAGCTGCCACATCATGGTATACAGGAGGCTCTCTGCTCTGGCATCTGGAGCACTTCCTCCCCTCCTTCCTCACTAACCTTGGTGTATGGAGGGCTTTTTCTCTCATATATTCTCACTCATCTTTCCAGCTGCAGTTTCACAGTATATTTCCCCCCATCTTAAATCTGTTATCCCAGAGTGACTACCACCATTGTTGATGGGCTCAGCCACGACCAGAGATGGGTCTGTCCTGGAGTCAGCTGGCATTGGCTCTGCCAGACAAAGGGAAAGATTCTAGCAAGTTCTCACAGAAGCTACCTCTGTATGACCACTGCTACCAAAACCTTGCCACACAAACTAGATGATCAAGCCCATCAGCCTGATGCCATCCGCATCTGTTAGTCATCATCATGGCTAGGCTTCGCGAACGAAGATTTGAGAATCTGTTAGTCAGTATAAACTAAACCCCCAAAAATATGATGCATAAAAGCCAGTGTTTAAATCAAATTAATTTACAGTGTGAAGTCTGTTCTGTGAGTTTTAAGTTAGGTTTGATGAAATTTTCTATGTATAATTAGTATTAATTCTTGGGGTTTGTTTTTGTTAATGTTTTTACTCTTGTTTGGTTTTGGTTTTAGCTTTGTTTCTGTTATAATTTTAATAATCATTAGCTCTCTCTCGTGTAAAGTGCAGTATAACCTTGTGTGATTCTACAAATAAGAGACTTTGTATGAAAAGAATAGCAATTTTGGTGGTCTTCTAGAAAGAAAATGGTCATACTAGAGAGATCTATTTAAAATCTGAAGTTTTAAACCATTAATTCATAACAATGTTTAAAAATGTGGGGGAAAAAATCATAACTGTATTTTCACTATTCACTACTGTCTTTGTAAAGTAAGATTAAATCACTAAGCATATTGTAGCATTTTATTTTCATTTCCAAATAAGAAAATAAGGATATTTATGTTCTAAATATTTTTTCTACAGGAACAACGAGACAGTTAATTATGCCTATGAAGTAAATGAGGTTGCATACAAGTCTTTTCATTGTCCGGAAGAAACTGTGTAGTACTGACTGATGAAGAAAATTTAATTTTTTTAAAATATTTTCAAGTTTAGAATTTTTTAAATTTAGCTCCAGCTTCTGGAAAAGAATTTGTGTGTGGATGTTCCTATTATTACATTTGTTATGTGATGATTAAATTATATATACAGAAAGTGGGGATGTGAGGTTTAAATACACTCTGTCTGATTCAGAACAGTCTTTTCCATCTCAAATCAGATTACTGTCAATGTTTATTCTGTCTAAGACTTGTTACCTGTATAACTGTTAAGAAACAGCTGTGTGTATAGGATTTCCCTTCTGCCCTTTCTACAGGCTAAGCTAAAAAATGGTTTCTATTGAAACCGTATTATTATTCAAATAATTTCAAGAAAGAATGCATCTTGCTAAACTAACAATGGTAACGATTGGCACCTATTCTTCCTGCTTTCCCTTTTTAAGAAAAGAGATTAAATGTTTATTCTTAAAGATGAAATTATTTTTCTACTCAACACAAATATGAATTTTTAAAACTATATTCCACAGGAGTGTATAAAAGCCAGGAAGCTCGGCTAATGCTCCACATATATCTCATTAAAGCACCCTCCCATACATCTGCAAGCAAGTTGAAAGAGGAAAAATGGGCTATGGATGGTTTTGTGAGTATATTTGGGCTGTAAAAGAGAGATAACTTTTTTTTGTTTGTTTGAAATCGTGATGGTGTTTTACACCCAAAAAATCCTGAGACATACAAATAGAATCTTGTTAGCAAGGCTGATTCATTAAATTAAAGGAAAATTTTGTTGTGAGATATAGGAAACCAGTCTGAGGGAAAATATGGGAACAATCATACAGTGTAGACAAAATTATACAGTGTGTTAATACAGAAGTATTTCTTGTAGGTTTCTTTTAATTTTATTCTAATATATCTACAAGTTTCATCAGAATTATAATATCAATTTATTGTTATATTAATAAAATAACAATTTTTATCATTATGCTAGCAATCATGTTTTACTTTTTGGTGATATTTTCAGGAATACCATGAAAAACACGAATGGTTACATATACAGGGAAAAAAAATAGATTACTCCAATTAAGCATTAGGCCTCTTGGAGGTTCTGGGTCTAAGCTTATTCTTTAAAAGAGAGAAGAAGAGAGCATATAACTGAGAGGAAGAGAGGTGAAGGAGAGGGGTAAATAACAACAGCCCACGTGGCTGGGATGTGTTTAAATCATGAACAGGAAATGTTTTCAAAGAAAAGATAAAGAAAAAAGTAGATTTTTCAGTAAAGAAAGGGCCTAACATAGTTTGGATTATTATAAACACTCATGCGTCCTTACTACACCATCTAATTTTTCAAGGAATTTGTCTTTTTTCTTGTGTTTTACTTCCTGGTAAAGCAGTACAGTGACACCATAATGGGTACCTATGCCAAACAAAAAGAAGAGGTGTATACTGAAGTGTACTCACAAATTATGGCACTGCTTCAATATTCATTTTAAAAAAGGTGCAAAATCAAAACCAAAGCACAAACAAACCCTAAACTGACTAAGCAATAAATGTACTGGTAAAAAGGCTTAACTTTCTTGGCTTGAACAAACTTTAGGCTTCATGAACATGTTCCTGAGGTGACAAAAATATGACAAAAGCAAGGAAATTGCTTTCAGACTTCTGAATATACAAAAGCAGACAATTTTTTTTAATCTTACAATAGCTTAAAAAGGCTGCTTTACTCCAAAGTAAGAAATTCACTTGAGAAAGGCACTCTTTCTTCAGTGAAAACATAGCTTCAGGTCACTGCTGAAGACATACTGTGTCTTTAGAAAGGGAAACAAGGGAAAAACTTGAAGGGACCTGCCTAGGAACCACTGAATTTAAACCTAATAACTATCCTTAGAAGCAAGTATCTGTCAATTTGTATACAGTGCATTACTTTAGACTGTACTTACTGTAATTAAGAGAGATAATCATAGGATCACAATCATCTCCTCCCTCCCACAAGCCTTTTAGTTTATACTATTTCGCCCTTGTGCCAAAGCCTTATTCAATATTCTTCTGGTTCACAGCTGCATAATTCAATGATTATTGGGATAAACTCTGAAAAAGATCAAATAAACTGTCAATTAATGTGAGGTCTTTTTTATTTAGTTTAAAAGTAGTTATTAAAACCTCAATACTTGCATCCTTAGGATTGTATGCAATATAAATTTTTCCATCTACTTCCTAAACAAAACAGAAAATTATGATGTATAAAAGATCTTAGAAATACTGACATTTGAACTGCCGGAAACTTTAAGTTTTACTGTTTTTAAAAAAAATACAGTTAAGGGTATGAGGTATAAGGTATCGTATAAGGTATCATATGTAACTATAAACCACCATATCTAAGGTATGCCTTTTTATTTGCACTTCTTATAGAGATTTTCTAGGAAAAGAGGGTGTTTATAATGGGAAATAACAGCTATCAGTCAAGCATATTAGGATATAGAATAGAATAACTCCCTTTCAAATAGATGCTTGTAACTTGCAAAAAACTTTTCCACATTTAATTCAGAGTACTTTTTGTTTACAGGTTTCTGCTGAACCTGATGGAGCAACATATGTTTTTCAAGGATTCATCCAGGGTAAAGATTATGGACAATTTGGACTTCAAAGATTAGGTATTCAACAAATTCTAATTCTTTGCCAGTTCACTGTTTTGTATTCTGTATGTTATCAGTAGTGACACTGTAGTTAATACAGCTATAGAGAGATTTACAATCTTTGAACAGATTTTGTTTAGCATGTTTACCACTTCACTATTTCATGCACACAAAGACAAAAATAGCTTCTCTGAAACAAAACGTTTTGAATGCTGTTCCCACACAATTTTCCTCAAAACATTCATGGTTGTTGGTTTGTTTTTTTGTTTGGTTGGTTGTTTGTTTTTTTTTTTTTATTTGGGCTTTTTTTTTAATTTCTATATATTGCCTTGTAAAATAAAGCAAGCAAGAAGATATTATGATGGATGCAATTCTTAAAAGGTCCAGTTAAAAGCTTAAAAATTAACTTTGAAGATGCATTATTACTTTCCTCACATTTAAAATTGTATAACCTGTCTGTGTATATAATGTAGATAATGTATTCCTCAACCATGCAGAAGGTCATATTCCTGTTTTTTTCATCAATATCTGGTTTAGCTCTTCACAATTATTGCTATCTCTTTCACTCTGTATATCAATACAATGCCTAAGGAAATAATGAATTTGACTTTTTCTATCAAGTACATTAATGTGTGTTAATAACATCCAAAACTTGAATCCCATGCAGAATTATGCTGTAAGATATTTACTATACCAGAGCATATGTATTGTTCTCCCAACATATTGCATCTACTTATTAATCAGAATATTATATATATATATATATATATACTTTCCAGATGGTCTCAGCATACAGCTGTATCTATGCAGCTGAACACATTTTGATGACCCAATAACAAGACGTTATTGAATTCTGAAGATTATGGAGTAGTATGTGCTGGAGATAACAGACACATATATGATATTACTTGTTTTTTCTTATTTATTTTTTTTTAGGTCTTAACATGTCTGAGGGTTCAAGTTCTTCTAATCAACCACATGGTACAAACAGTAGTTCAGTGGCCATTGCTATCCTTGTGCCTTTCTTTGCCCTTATATTTGCTGGTTTTGGCTTTTATCTTTATAAACAAAGGTAAGTACTAATTATATATACAAAATTCCTCTAATACTCTATCTGTTGCTGATTTTATTGCCTTCAATCTTTGCAAGTGAATAAGGTTTTCTGTAAAACCACAAAGTGTTTGCAAAATATGGAAACCTTCTCCCCACCTCCATTAAGGTCTGGTATAATGACTAAGAGACAAGTTTATTGTAGTGTGCTATACTTTCATTCCTACCTATTTAAAATTTTATAAATTTCTTCCTTCATTATAATAAAATAGATGTTATAAATTATTGGCATATGGTGAATAATATAATTTGTAGACTTTATGTGTACTTACAATGAATTGCCTATATTTTTTTCTATGTGTGACAGAACTGAATCATATTCTGAGTAGTTTATTTTAATACTTGCTCTGTTTATTGGCATACAAGTATACGCAAGTATGTCATTGAGAGGTTTCATTGTGGAACTGTTTCTACATCTGAAATTATTAGTTCATATGCAATTGTGTTAAACAGCCACCAGTCTTTTCAGTTTCATTAATCTGAGTTCAACAGTTTTGGTCATGTTATCGAGACCAGTATTAATTCTTGGGATGCAGTGTCAAGTAACCTTTTCCCATAGCTTTAAAGCATTAGATAACTGAAGAAAATTTAACCACTTTAATGACAATTCATTGCATATTAACTACCAAAATGTTAATTTACATCTGATAGTCTGACAATAATACTAGTAACATACTCTACAGGATAACGTTATTTTGAAACACATACCATGACTTTTAAACAGCACTGCTCGTTTTAAACTGCTTCAGAATATGAAAAATTGCCCATGTAATTTTTTATGTATTTGTTATTACCTGTATGCTGTAAGTACTGATCATTGCACTTTATATTGATGATTTACAATATAGTATGCATTTTGTATAGCAATATGGATGAAAAGTTTTTAAGAGTTTGAACTCTTGTATTTTGAGTTATTTAGTGAAAAAGAAAATGTTTCAACTATATTTCTTGGTAAACTTGTCAAGTCTCCAAATGGAAAAGAAAACCTCAGTCATCTGGATGGGGGAATTATTGTGTCTTTACAAGATTTTATTGTACTCTTTGCTATTTATCATCTGATCATCCAATTGTAATGGATAACAGCTTGGATAATGGATCTAATAGCAATGGATAACCTCTTCTAAGGTTGTTAACTAAGTTTCTAGGTGAACACCATTTTCAATGAATCATAAATTTCTTAAATTTAATAAAGACAGTACTAATTCTTAGCATAGATATTGTAAAAATAACCCCAAGATGTTATATTTAGCTCCTGGAACTGGGAGCTAAATTCTGCTCTGATTCTTAAACCGCATTAAGTCAGTGAGGAAAACTGCAGTTACAAATGCTCTGTTTTTCTTCTACAGGACTGCACCTAAAACACAGTATACAGGATGCTCTGTACATGAAAATAATAATGGACAAGCTGCTTTTGAAAACCCCATGTATGACACAAATGCAAAGTCAGTGGAAGGGAAAGCGGTACGATTTGACCCCAACTTGAACACTGTTTGCACAATGGTATAATGTGGTAATGATTTGTCTTCGAAGTCTGGGAATTGGCACACAACACAGTGCACACACAGTTCGCTGATTGAAAAAAAAAAAGAAATTAAAAAAATTAAAGCACACTTTTCAGGATGTAGTGGGTCACCTTTTCCTGAGGACGATAGGCAAGTATGCGTTGTAGTTATTTTGTTTTCATTTTGTTTTTCATAAACTGGATCAGAATTCTTCATGTATGCCATGGAGAGTGTTAAAAAAATTTGCTGCACTCCATGAGTGCTACTCACAGTTTATTTGCTTTTTTAAAAAAGGAGGTTATTCTAAAACATAAAACGTATTTGCATATATTGGAGGAGCATCCACTATCAGTATTCTGTGCTTTATAAAAACTATAATAGAGGGACTGGGTTAAAAAAAAAAAGATATAGGTAGAAAATAAGAGCTATACTTACAGGAGACAATAGGTCACTGATTTCTCTTTAACAGTCATATGCTACACCTTTCTCATGAGTTGGTAACTTTTTTCCTTTTTCAGCCTGTTTAGTATTTTATTTTTCTCAGTACAGTTAAGTTTTTTAGTCCAGGATGTAGTATTTAGAAATCAGCAACTATAACTTTCTCTTTTCATGCCACAGAAAAAAAAATAGAATTCATATTCTTATTTCATGAATTTCCTTCCCTGCTTCACAACTTGCTTCATTTTCATGTTCCAAGTGAAACCTATTTTCTGTGTTTCCATTAACAATACCCACAAATGGTAATGTTTATATATTTCTTTTGTCAATCATACATCTAGACAAATTTTACAATGAAGAAGCTAATATGAGTTGAGCTTTGTATGTGACTATGTTTGGTAACGTTGAAGAACATTCAAGAGTGACCATCTTACATTTTTGCAAAAATGAAAACATAATTTAATGATATTTCCTATTAAAAATGCAGTTTACAGTAACATTAGTAATGAAATCCATATATCAAAAATTTAAGACACCATCTTTCAATCCATGTTAGTTAAAACTAGGCCATATCACACCAGTTTATTCCTTCAGCATTTTAACAAAATGCATGCACAAAGCATGATGAAATCCCATTGAAGCTGATGGATTCTAAGAGACTTCAATGAACTTTGGATCAGATCTACAGGGCAAAAGGAAGTTATAATTTGAAAATACTGTGTTTTCACATCTATTTTGTCTATATATTCCGTACTTTAGGGAAAAAAATCTTTACAGCTCATTTAAAATTAAATATATTACCATAGTGCAATGAAAAAAAATTGATATATATATATATATATAAAGCCATGATTTTATTAGGGACAATCCATTCATTTTAGGGACAATTCAGATTCCACAGCCCTCAGATACAAGTTTTCGACATTCCAGAATCACTTCTAAGGAAATGCAATTTTTAGTTTTACAGTTATTTCATATCAGAATTATTCAGTGGGAACCCAGTAATTTATTTGATGTAGGTCATTGTCTTCCATTCATAGCATGACTCACAAATGCTGTGTGTTAGCCAGTGTGAATTATCTGTTATTGTCCCTTTCAGACATTAATGATTCTGTGAAAATCTAAACTTTTTATTACCGTAATAGAGAGTGCCTACCAAAAATCATTGTACCCAGGATTGCTGCTTGGATTTCTATAATGTTTGATGAATTTCTTATAAACCATTTTACAACACTTTGTTTTGAATATTCATACAACTCTGTCAAACTGTATTCTACTAAAAGGATGCTGTTTTATATTTTATACCATTGGTTGTTATTTATTCTCGTTTATTCAAATGACTGCAATAACTATGATTCATTCATTAATGTTAAGGTTAATACATTTGAGATCATTTAAAATGTTTCTTCTGCAACTGGCTACTCCTCTTATATTAATGCATACACTTTTGTAAAGAAGTATATTTTTATGAAAAAGGATTTGTAAAAGTATGATGTAAATTTTCAGTGCAATGTAAACAAAATAAAAATGGACAATTGCTTTTTTAAACTGTGTTTCTTCTTTGGAAGATGAGCTTTAAAATTATTTCAGTTGTGAAGATGAGAAATTAACCAAACTAAGAATTCAAATTTGGTATTCTTTTGTGTTTCTAAAATAATGTTATTTTTTCTGAATCTTGCTGTGAATTTTAGGTGAAACTGCAAGATTTAGATTACTTTCAAAAACAACTGATAAGCACAACGTGTAAAACTATTTTTTTACTAAAGTCAATTTTCTGTTTTACTTGAAGAAGCAGATTTACACAAAAGAGGCCTACAGTTGTCAATCCAGTGAAAAGCACTAGGAAAAAAATTACTTTAAAGAAAAAAATAATTTAGAAAACTTTAGTATTCCTCAAAGTTATAGACAGCCTACTTTTTACATAATTTTGCTACCTTTTTGCAGAAATATACAGGACATACATATTAACAGGTAGTACCAGTACATACAGTATTTTCTGACATTAAAAAATCCCAGTGTTTCTTTTAATCACGTTCGACTGGAAGAAGGGATCTTAGTTATATTACTAAAGTATTGAAACTATCTTTTAACTATCCCTTTTACTTAAAAGCATGGAAGGTGGATGACAAATCCTGATCTGAAATGCTATTCATAGAGCAACTTGGGGACAAAATAGTCTAAAATTCATTTGTGAATTTGGTGCTCTATATAAATTGAAAAGGCCCATTCAGGTCCATGTTGAAATCACTGAAATTTGTGTTGCTAAATACATTGGAAAGAGAAGCACGGAGTCACTGTAAAGTGATATCATGAAGATCGTGCACTAATGTTTTGGGGGGGAGGGGGATTCTAGAGCAAATTGGTTAAATCTGAAAAGCAAGAAAAAACCAATTTCACAGTGGCCAAATTTTCATATACAACCTAGAATCTGAAGTTAGGCTCTTCCTTTTTTTATTTATGCATTATATGTTTTTGCATACAAAAGTAAATAAAACTTACATTGAATTAGTTCCACAATCCTGTTAATTAGCTTAAGCTAATATATCCAGCTTGCAATTTTCAAGAATTATGCTGACTTTCTTGTAATAGAGAGTGCATTCATCATAATAGATTGAATTTGGGGTTTGATTAGTTTGTTCTAGTTTTGTACATTGGATAAGTTTATTTGTTTAAGGGGTTTTTTATTTTGATTTGGTTTTGGGGGGGTTGTTTGGGTTTTTTTGGCTAAGTTCCTGAGCTTTTTGACTTATAAACTGTGTGTGAACTGTTCAATTTCCAAGTAGCAGAGTGGTCAGTTTTCACTGTGGCAGATGGAATTCAAAGTTTTGGTTGTTTAATTGGAATTTGTTAGCCCAGTCTACTCACTGTTTCTTATTTTTCTTGGGAAGGTAGCAGAATGGAAGATAGCCCTTTGGCTACATTATTCAAGCAAACACAGTATACAGAGAAAATCTGTATATCAGAAAAAATCAGAATAAAGAAATCAGAAAAAAGAATTGAGATTGCCATGCAACTCTGTGAGTCTTTCGAGACGAACACAGCTTCTGCAATACTACAGACTGAGATTTAAAATTTCATTTAAGATTGAGCCCTTTTAATTTACATTATCTGTGTGTCAAGACCCATCAAGTCCACTACATGTCATTAGATCATACTACAGTCTGGTTCATTACTGGAATCCAGAAACCATATAGAATCAACTAAACTCACCAAAATAGCAGTTCTGGTAAAACTCCTCAGAATCATCATAAAATTGAGCTAAAAATGTCATATTTTACTTTATTTTGTGAAACAGAGCTGGCATTAATATGTAGACATCTTATCCTTGACGAATTCCATGACTAAAGTAGAACAAGCTGTTCTTGTCAAGGAAATGGTTTAATGGCTACGCATCTTATTGCTTCATATAGAGAGCTAATGAGAAGTGAGCCTGTAGCCATGTCATTAAGCTGTTAATCTAGGTGAAAGACAGATTTTCTTTACCAAGCCTTAAAAGCGTGCACCTCAACCCACTAGTACAGTTGGCTGAAGTGTTATGAAGTATTCCTCATTTTTTCCAACATTAGTGAAATTTGGGGAATTTAATATCTTGGATATCACTGCACAAAGATATCAGCAGATCTGTATCCCAGTGTGTAGATTCAGTGTGTAGATTCAGTGTGTAGATCTACTACTTAGCTACTACATTATTTCAGTAAAGCATAGACGTCTTTTGACAGAATATACTTTTTTTTTTATTGTTATTGTGCAGATTTCTGCCCATGATCAGTCTGTAAAAGATCACCTGCTCCACAATGGAACAGTCCATATGTGTTGAAACATCCTTATGGAGAAAAATATATCTTGTATCATTTGTCATATTAAAACCCTACAATTTTTGAGAGATTAATTTATGGAAATTAATTTATGATTTCAGATTTTCAGTGGGAATTGATATACCTGAAGCATCTAGGTGACCATTCAAGCAATGGTACATTCAGCAACCAAGTTCCATGGTTTGTCTCACACACTTTGCTAATAGTCTTACTAGCCTTTCATGGTACATCAGAAAGTCTTCTTATGATCTCCCAAAACCACAAAATTTCCTTTCATTTCTTTGAGTTTCTATGATTTAATTTTGATTTGGTTACCAAAAATTCAGTCAAACATGATGGAGAAAGATGCACTAGGTTTATTTTCTGGTAATCTGTATTACTGGTTAGCAAATAAACATGTTATTCTTTACTTCCTTTTATATCTTTCTCTGTGAAAAAAATAATTATTACACGAGAGAGTGTTCACATGAGACAAGCAGGATACAGTGTTTAGGAATGCAACTGGGTTTTAAGATTCCTACTCGGTATATTTATTTTCCAAAATCTTTGTGTGATTCCAGCTGTCCTTTTTTAAACAAATGAAGCACTAAGTTGGTTTTATCTTTAGTTCTAGACTAAGTCTCCCACTGCCTGATCATTTTCCCCATCATCTACTATGTACTGCTGTCCTAAGTGACAACTAGGACAATTGAAAAATGATTCATAATTTGGTTTCCTTGTGTAGTAAAATAAGTGTAATAAGTAAGAACGTGGGCAGATACTTTTGAATAAGATTTTTTAATGTCATGTATTAAGCAGGACCAATTAAATGAACATTTGATTACACAAAAAATATTTCAATGAAGTAGCTCTGTTCCCATTTATTATCTTCTTGTTTCTGAAACTAAGGCAGCATAATATCCTGACTTGCTGAACCAGGAGTAAGTATAGTAATAGTTCTGAAATGTAGGTCCCATCATTTTATGAAAAGTTATGAATGTTGAAGACATATATCATAATAAGTATACAGGTAATATTTGTCAGTGCTGTATACCAATTCATGCCAAATCAGCCAGATGAAGCTGATTAAGTCAAATCACACTTTGTCTAAAGTATATTTTAGAAAGTGCCCTAGTGGCAAAACAGACTGGAGAGAAGGCAACTTCCAACAAAGGAGCTGCACATCCATTTTAAGTTAAAAAACTTATTAAGTGTCCAAAATTTTATGTTCCAGCTTCATGTCCACATAATGTTTGCGAAAATGAACTTGGATCTCAGTTATCGAGTGCTAATACCATAATTTGTATTCCTAAGGTAAAAGATTCTATGTAGGGGCAAAAGAATTATATAGTTATCTTTTCCAATAATGTTCTGTTTCTGGTTTTGGCTAGGGTAGGTTTTTTTCCTTCACAGGAGCTGGCATAAGCCTGCGTTTGGATGGGTGCTGAAAGTAGCGGTGATCATATTGGGAAGTCTTTGTTATTGCTTTCAAGGTCTTTTCTGCTTCTCAACCACCCCACCAACAAGAAGTTTGGGGGTGCTCAAGAAGTAGGGAGGTGACAGAGCTGGGACAGCTGACCCCAACTAACGACCCTGAGTTAGCTCAATTGGTTAGAGCATGGTGCTAATAACACCAAGGCTGTGCGTTTAATCCTCTTATGGGCCATTTGCTTAAGAGTTGGACTCAATGATCCTTGTGGGTCCCTTCCAACTCAGAATATTCTGTGACATTTCTGCAAAACTGACTGAAGGGATATTCCAAACTATATGGTATCATGCTAAGCAAATAAAACTGGAGTAAGAAGAAGGAAAGGGAGGATATTTGAAGTGATGGCATTTGTCTTCCCAAGTAACTATTCTTGGATAGTGATGAAGCTCTGCTTTCCTGGAGATGACTCAACACTTGCTTACTCATGAGAAGTGGTGAATTAATTCCTTGTTTCGCTTTGCTTGCATGCTTGGCTTTTGTGTTACCTATTAAACTGCCTTTATCCCCACCCACAAGGGTTTTCACTTTTATTCTTCCAATTCTCTCCATGACCCTGTTGGCCAGGCAGTGAGCAAGCGGCTGCACGGTGCTTAGTTGCCAGCTGGGGTTAAGCCATGACATTCCTTTCTGGCACCCAACATGGGGCTCAAAGGGTTTGAGATAACAACAGATTTTATTAGAATGTGCTAGGTTCAATTTACAGCTGTTACAGCTGTTAAGCTGTTAATTGTCAGGCTCCAGAGGCTGCACCCCACGGAAGGGAAACACACTGGAGCAGTTTGTGAAGAACTGCAGCCTATGGGAATGACCTGATCACAGGGATGCAACACATCTGTGAAGACAGGCTGAGAGAGTTCAGGCTGTTCAGCCTGGAAAAGAGAAGGTTTTGGGGAGACCGTATAGCAGCCTTCCAGCACCTAAAGGGGGCTTACAATGAGTCTGGAGAGAGACCTTTCACAAGGGTATGTAGCAATAGGACAAGGGGGCAATGACTTCAAACTGAAATAGAGTAGGTTTAGACTGGATATCAGGAAGAAATTCTTTACTGTGACAGTGGTGAAGCACTGGAGAAGGTTGCCCAGAGAGGTTGTGGGCTGGAGGTGTTCAAGACCAGGCTGGATAGGGGCTCTAAGTAACCTACTCTGGTGGAGAAGGGGATTGAAACTAGATCATCTTTAAGGTCCCACCCAACCCAAGACATTCTGTGGTTCTATGACCCTTATCAGAGAAGTTCGTGGAGGACTGTCCTTTCTGACAGAATATTA